CCCCCCCCGTGGCTTAATTTTACATTTTATAAAGGATTTATGCGGGAAAAAATATTGGAGGTTTAATTAATTATTTTTAAAAAAAAACTTATTAGTTTCTACAAACGTGTACTGCTCAGTTTCAGGAGGGTGTCATCCTCTGTGTGTAGCTTCCCGAAAACGCCAACACACCAAACAGAAGAGCTCCTCCTCGGGGGAGTTCAGCGAGCCGAAGATCGTCACACAAGTGCCAGGCCCGAAGACAAAAGAGCTCTCCAAACGTCTCGGCAAATATCAGGTTTGTGATTGGAAAAATTAAGCAGAAGTTAGAATAAAGTAGTTACTACAGATATCCCTTAAAGAAAAATATTAAACTTATTATTTTTTATTTTTTTTTGAAAGGAAATGGTGATTATTTTACATAAACTTTGAAATCTAAAATATTGCAAGTTGAGCCGCAACGACACGTTCTAAAAAAAAATAAAAAAAATAAAATAATAAAATTAAAAAAAACAACAACACATACACAAAGCAACAACAACAAAACACAAAAATTACAAATTTAAAAAAAAAAAAACCAACGTTGATTTTGCCCGTGCCTGTAACAATGGCTGGACATATTGCACTGTGAGATTTAAGCAAATCTGGTTTGCGATTGGCTGGAAATTCTTCACTGTGATTTACAATTTAATGATGTACCGGTATTATTGTTTTATGAAATGAATAAATTTTTACATTTCTGACCGTGTTCTTCTAAACTCAAAATCAACCAACATCAATTTAACAAAAGGCAAACACGACTAGGTTATTGCATTAATCCATTGACAGTGTTGTGTCAAGTCTTAAATAGTTGCAACGTCCCATAATGTGTGTTTGTCTTGCATCAAATGTTCATAGCGATGTTCTAAGATGTATATTAGTTTATCTCCATCTAACGATTTGTTCACGACAGTCATGTTAAAACAACATGGCGTACCTCGCATTGGAGACAATACAATGTATCATGGAACCTGGAAAGCAAATTATATTCTTACCCCCCCCCCAACAAAACAGTCATTGACAAGTGACCGTTTCTACCCCATACAGAATACTGATGCCGTCCACTTTTTTGTGGACTATGAACGATCTCGTGGTAACTATGTTGTGGACGTGGATGGGAATATTCTACTGGATATGTTCGCACAGATAGCTTCACTACCCCTAGGTAATGTTGACAGACTCTCTACCCCTAGGTAATGTCGACAGAATCATTACCCCTAGGTAATGTCGACAGACTCACTACCTCTAGGTAATGTCGACAGACTCACTACTCCTAGGTAATGTCGACAGACTCACTACTCCTAGGTAATGTTGACAGACTCGCTACCCGTAGGTTATGTCGACAGACTCACTACTCCTAGGTAATGTGACAGACTCACTACTCCTAGGTAATGTTGACACAGACTCACTACCCGTAGGTAATGTCGATAGCCGCACTACTCCTAGGTAATGTCGACAGACTCACTACCCCTAGGTAATGTTGACAGACTCACTACCAATGTTCCTTCTCACTACCCCTAGGTAATGTTGATAGACTCCCTACCACTACCCCCTATATATATATATAGGTAATGTTGACAGACTCACTACTCATAGGTAATGTTGACAGACTCACTACTCATAGGTAATGTTGACAGACTCACTACCCCTTGGTAATGTTGACAGACTCCCTCCACTACTCCTAGGCATGTAGACATGCACAATACCCCTAGGTAATGTTGACAGACCAACTATCCCTAGGTAATGTTGACAGACTCACTATCCCTAGGTAATGTAAACAGCCACATTAACCCTTGATAATGTTGACGGACTCACGACCCGTAGGTAATGTAGACGACATCATTACCCCTAGGTAATTTTGACAGCTAAATTACTCCTAGGTAATGCTGACACCGACAGTCTAACTACATCTCAGGTAGAATTTGAAACATATAGCCTTACTATCACTAGATATTATAGATCATAGGCATTTCTATGATTTTTCTAAGGGTAGGGGGAAAATTCCTATACCTAGGTCATGTTACAGAAGCTAGCAGAACCAGTGTCAGTATACACTAAAGCGTACGTTTTCCGAGCGCCAATTATCTGAAATTTCGTTTATCCCAATACCCCTTTTTAGAATATATAATATAATTATTTATTATTTCTAATCGAAAGCAAAGCGCCTATCATGGAGTATTGGACGTCATTTGGGAAGGGCAGGGTGGGCCATTCCACCCTCACTCCCTCTAAATTTGAATGTTTTATTTAAATTGCTATGCAATGTGGCGCACCCAGTAATAAACAACAAGCCGACCAAGTTTGCCCCCCACCCCCCCACCCCCCCCCCATCCCGAATTATTTATTATTTCTAATCGAAAGCAAAGCGCCTATCATGGAGTATTGGACGTCATTTGGGAAGGGCAGGGTGGGCCATTCCACCCTCACTCCCTCTAAATTTTAATGTTTTATTTAAATTGCTATGCAATGTGGCGCACCCAGTAATAAACAACAAGCCGACCAAGTTTGCCCCCCACCCCCCCACCCCCCCCCCATCCCGGATACAAACACCAGAAAACGATTCCGATCCATGTGGCACAATCCAGGTAAAATCTTCAAACTACTAGCATGCCTGCCAGCAGAGGCCAGAGTGGCGTAAAGCAACTTGCAAAGCCTTACATTTCGTGGGAGTGTTTGGTCTTCCAGAATTATTATTATTTTTTTTTTTAAATAATAAGTTATCTGAACAAGATCGCGCCCAATTAGTTCGCAAAATCGGCGCTGTGTTGTAATTTGCGCCATTTTTATAATCAGTAAATCTCGCTCTTCTTAATTATCTTTATTTTTTTTTTAAATAGTTGGGGGGGGGGGGGGGGGGGGGTTCTAATTAAGATACATCAGTTCTACATTTACTCCATTGTTCCACACTGAGCTTTTTCATTCGAGTCAGCCATTGTCCACCTACGGCCTTATTTGAATTTCTCTTTTTGCCAGGCTACAACCATCCGAGGTTAATCGGTGCAATGTCAGACCCCAAAAACTTGGTGAGTCACACACACACACACGTTTAAAACTCGACAGTAGCATCTGGTTATGTCATTGGGTTACTTTTGGTTAAAACAACACGTCATGGGGGCCGATGTCCTGGCCGGGGGGGGGGGGGGGGCTGTGTCAGGCGTGATGTTTTAGGTGCTTCTATAGAAATCCGCTTTAACATTGTTTAGTGTGGGGAAAGGTAGTGGGGAGGGGGGTAATCGTTTCTCTACAATAGACGAGTGTGTGAATTTCTCCGGTAGTGGCGGAACCATGAGGTCGAGAGCTTGGCTTCTATGGAGAATAAGCTGTTTCCCATTCAGCAGACGGCCTCCCCTACAAGCAGCTGGTGAACCCAAGAGAACATCGTACTTCAAATTTTAAATAAAATAAAAGTTTAGATTCATGTGGTTTGGACTTATCTATTCTGTATTACATTTTAAATTCCACATTTCATTCAATTTTAATAGACCATCTTTATATACATATTAAACAGAAAGCATTTCACTGGCAAACATTTGATTAAAAAAACAAACAACCTAAGCATATTTGAGTGTAAAACACTCCTACAAGGCGAAGGCGATACTATATCTGGAGCCAGAGGCGTCCCTAGAGTTGGTATCACCCGGTGCGGTAAAACTCATTGTGTCTCCCGTTTCCCAACACCCTCCACCCCCCCCTTTTTTTTCTCCCCACACAGTAATTCTTAACCAGATCACATAGCATCGATTAAAGTATTGTTTGTAAATTAAGCCTTAAAACAACGAAACACTAGGTGGCAAAATATCATTTGAAGTAACGCCCTTTAAAATTCACAACAAAAAAAAATTAAAATAAAATAAACGTAAAATTACTTTGTATTGAAACATTCAACTTTACTTCAAAGCTTTACGTAAACTATTTTTTACTGTGAAAACTTTACTTTCCGGACCACTAACGTGTCCCTCATTTCATCGAAACGGAACCACCCGGCTCAGGTGGCGCCCTTTTCTGGTGTCACGCTGTTGTTGTATGTCATTGATTTCAGTTAAGAAACCGATTCGAGTGATTTCTGTCACATTTGCAAATTTTCCATAATTTGGTGTCCATCCATCCCCTGTGAGGCCATTGCGGTCCGGCCCCTCCCCCTTAATCAACCCCTATTTGACGCCACTGCATGGATCTCCTAAGATATTATCCAATAATCACAAATGGGGCGTCTTCTTAAAGTGATTTGTATATCATTGTAAGGGGCGTGTCCAAAAGAGGGGGGAAAAAAAAGGTCACATTTAATGAGTCTAACAGCTCGAACATTTTATTGAAACCGTTTAAAAGGGTTTTCCCTCAGTGACCTCCAATCGAAGGAGTTCACTCTTTGTGTGTGTTGATCTTTTGCCTCCGCAGACAAGCGTCATCAACAGGCCGGCTCTCGGCAGTTACCCATCGGAAGACTTTATAGGCAGACTTGAGAGAAGTCTGCTGTCGGTGAGTACACTATCCTCACAATTTGCTCTGTAGCGTTACTGTGAGTGACTTGACTCGGTTGACTGACTCACAAAAACGAGTGAGTGGACATTCGCGTGTCAACATGTCCATTGCATCAAGCAAAAATGTCATTAAAAAAAGGTAAAGAAACGGCTAAATTCAAAATACACATATAAATGACGTATTATATTTATGGATCATCAGGTGGCGCCACCTGGCCTGCGTCACGTCCAGACAGCTGGTTGCGGGACTTGCTCCAATGAGAATGGTCAGAAGGCGATTTTCATGGCGTACCAGGTCAGTACCGCTGACGTCATGTGTAAGTATACGTGTGATTCGAGAGTATCTAAGTATTGATTTAAAACACAAAGAGGTGGGTGGCCGGTGGTCTTAATAAGTGTCCGAAATTTAAATAAAACCTGAATATTCGGGGAGGGGGGTAAATACCCCTGTTCTAAATTATTTCAGCGCAGGGTCAGAGGTCACAGGCCGCCAACAGAAGAAGAGAAGACTTCAAGTTTGATGAACCAGCTGCCAGGGAGTCCCAAACTTTCATTCCTGTCCTTCAAAAATGCATTTCATGGCCGCTGCATGGGTGAGTTGGAACACGTGGGCCCCGGGTTGAGAGCCCTTGTTTTAGTGGTACCCTCCATTCATATGGATCACGTCAGGTATCAACATTCCGAGGTCACTGACGCGTATCCCTTGTGCCAACAGGTGCCCTGGCGATGAGCCACGCCAATTTGTTCCACAAACTGGACTTCCCCGTGCCCGACTGGCCAGTGGCGACTTTTCCCCGCCTCAAATATCCACTGGATGAGTTCACCAGGGAGAACGATCGGGAGGAGCAGACGTGTCTTGACGAGGTGAGGTACACAGGTGTGTGGATGTGTGTACTCTTCTTGACAATGTACACAGGTGTGTGGATATGTGTACTTGTCTTGACGAGGTAAGTGTGTGTACGTGAAGGTCTAGCGTGCCCCGGCGTTATCTTTGGAGTGGCACAAAATCATTAAAAAGTAATTGAGGAAAAAAAAGATTTTATTATATAAAAACCCCAGGTTTTGACATTTCTGTAGCAACTGTTTTTTTACGGTTGAGGTAACTGGCCCCACGCCAACCCTCCTCCTTTTGCATCCGGGCTTGGGACGCATTTATTTGTGCTATTAAAGAAAATATGGGCGTCGAAGAAGCTGAAGCCGAAAATAAAGTCAGAATATTTAACTCAAATGTCAAAACAGTACTACTACATGGAGCAGAAATTTGGAAAACAACTGCGAGCATTAAGCAGAAAGTACAGACCTTCATAAACACATGCCTTAGAAAGATCCTGAACATCAAATTGCCACATACCATTACCAAAAAAAAAATCTACTAGAAAGACTCACCAGGTGCCCATCGACGAAGACATCTTAATGAAAAGATGGCGGTGGATAGGGCATACTCTCCGAAAACCCACCGATAGCATCACCAGACAATCCCTAACATGGGATCCACAGGGGAAAAGAAAGAGTGGAAGGCCAAAGAATACATGGAGACGCGATCTAGAGGCAGACACGCAAAATATGGGATACACCTGGAAGCAAATGGAAAGGAAAGCACAGGACCGTGATGAGTTGAGAATTCTTGTGGAGCCATCAGAACAGGGTGCCACCAGAGCATCGTGTCACTAAAGCAGGGTGCCACAAGAGGCATAGCTACGGAGGGGGTGTTGGGGGGGGGGGAGATGTCCCCGGGTGCTAGCGCAGTGGAGGTAAGCAAAAAATGGGCTATAATGGTATTTTATTATAAAAATAATGTATTTGTTTAAATTGACGGGTGCGTAAAAATGAATATTTTCAATGGGTGCCAGACACTACAGCTACGCCCCTGCAAGGGTCGCCACCTCTTTCTGTCGTCTGCTACAGTGAGAGCTGGCCGTAGACTTGGGTTTCTATTCCGCACATCAGTTTCTACAATTGTTCTTGTGCCAGGTTTCTGTGGGTCTCCCGGAATTTTCTTTCCCTGGGTTGTCCATCTTAGTGCTCCTGTCCTGTGAAGTGAACTTGGTGGCTAAGCTACCTCCAAAGACTTTCCTCTATTACTTACTTCCACATTAGTCATTCCCGATCAAGAAAATAGCTTTAATTTTTTTTTTCAAGGCTGGATTTTACCATTTTGAAGGGGCGCACGCGGCTCGTGGGTTGGGGACCCTCGGGTTAAACATATTTTTTTTACAAAGCTAACAACCACCATTGTTGTTAAATGTGTAATTAAATAACGTGTGTCCAGCGTAATGTTATAACGTGTCACCATATTTGTGATCCCGTCAAGGTACGAGATCTCATCGCTAAGTACAAGAGGCGGGGAGAGCCTGTGGCGGGAATTTGTGTGGAGCCGATACAGGCCGATGGGGGAGATAACCACGCCAGCGCCAGCTTCTTTCAAGGACTTCAAAACATTTGTAAAGAGGTGAGCGATTTTCTCTCAAACTTTGTTATATTGATTTATAGGCAATAAATTCTGTATTTTAGGAACGATAACGTTTTGTTGGAAAGAAGTTTCGCATAATTTATTGATTGGGTTGGCAGCCACAGGTAAATGGCCCAGGTATGCAACGTATTACTTTTTTTTTTTTTTGTAGGTACCGAACCCAACCAGTTTCATATGCGCATTCACCGAACCCTTCTTAATAGGAAAAATAAAATATGATTTTTTTTTCTGATTCTTTGGACCTCCGCCGAACCCCTGAGACTGACTCACCGAACCCCTTGGGTTCGATCGAACCCAGGTTAAGAACCACTGCTTTAGGCGTTGCCGTTGGCAGGGTATGATGAACTTAAATTTTGGATGGTGAAGTTTCGAATTAAAAAAAAAAAATGAATATAAAATTCAGGTTTGTATAATTCTTATTCTAATAAATACTAGCTATTTAAAAACAAAACAAACACACACTCACGTTTAATGTATGTGTTCTACATTGTTGATATTGTTATGTGCATTGGCATTCCATGTTGTGTGTAAGTGTACTTGCGCTTAGTTAAAAGGGTTCTTCTATAAGTTCACTCTCGCGGGCGTGTTGGTACAAGACACAATGGTGGTAATGGCCAGGCCACTGGAGTTCTTGTGGTCGCTTCTATTCAATTTTTTTAATAGTGTGAGTCAGATTCGACGGTTAAGTGTTAATACCTGTTCTAGTAACATGTTAATTTGCTTTACTCTCTCCCATGTGTTTTCCCCCAGAGTGGAGCTTATCTGATGCTAGACGAGGTACAGACCGGATGTGGCGTCACGGGTAAATTTTGGGCCCATGAGCATTTTAACTTGAGTCATCCTGCAGACGTTGTCACGTTCTCTAAGAAAATGTTGTCTGGTGGATTTTACTTCACGGAGGATCTCAAACCAACAGAGGTGGGTCGTCTTGACAAATGTTTCTAAAACCTAACCACCACCCACTTGGAATGAACTTCCCATTACCATCGTCCGCTGGCATGTGAAGGGCGGGGTGGGAGGGCCAACAATTTTTCTATCTATATAGAGGGGCGGCATTTTTTAAAGAAATTCATGGTTGCTGTTTTTTTTTCGTCAGGAGGGGGCAACAAAAATATTGGTCCACACCTGGGTGGCACTAACCCTAGATAAGCCGTTGCCATCGTCAATAAGATTTAATGGACCAGGGCAAAAACAGGAAACGGACAAGTTTAAAATAGACAAGGGATGCTCCATTACAATTTTAAACTATGGAGATGAGAGTTCAAAGTTTAAACCCACAGATTCCACAGACGAGAGGGTTCAAAATGTGGCCATAAATCTGAACACGTGATAGATTGAGCCAATGAAATGTTTCCTTAGATCTGCCATCTCTCCAACAGGGTTATAGAATCTACAGCACGTGGGTTGGCGACCCGTCCAAACTTGTTCTGCTGGAGGAGGTCATCAAGGAGGTCAAACGGGAAAAACTCACCGACAACGCTGCTCGGGTTGGGACAGCACTGCTCAGTGGACTCAAGGAGCTGCAGGTGAGTTTACAGGTGTTGTGACGTCAGAGGTCGTTTGCGTTTTCTGGACAGGCTACACAACTTTTAAACAACTTTTATCTCAATATCATTTTCTGTGGCCCATAGGTCAACATGTTGTCTATGGCCCGCTGGTCATCATGTTTCTTTGACCCACTGGGCATCTTGTTTTCTGTAGCCCATTGGTCATCATGTTTTCTGTGGTTCATTGGTCATTATGTTCATCGTGTTTTATGGGGCCTATTAGTCATCATGTTTTCTGTGACCCACTGGTCAAAATATTTTCTGTGGCCCACTGGTCTTCATGTTTCTTGTGGTCTATTGGTCATCATGTTTTCTGTGGTCTATTGGTCATCGTGTTTTCTGTGGTTCATTGATCATTATGTTCATCGTGTTTTATGTGGCCCATTAGTCATCATGTTTTCTGTGACCCACTGGTCACAATATTTTCTGTGGTCTATTGGTCATCATGTTTTCTGTGGCCCACTGGTCAACATGTTTAAATGTTGGTATTTAGGCTTAAACTTTGGACCATAAAAAAATAAAAAGCCAAAAGCTAAAAAAGTTTAACCAACTTTTATCCCAGTAGTCTACAGAAATGATTTCATGCCATTCCCAGGACATCTACCCTCAGCTGTTGAAGAATGCTCGCGGCCTAGGGACATTTTGTGCAGTGGACTTTCCTACAACAGAAATACGGGACAAAATAATCTCCAAACTTCGAAATAAAGGTGCGTTGTATGGTCGAAATTGTTTGGCCAGCATTTGCTGTTCGGCCAAGGTTAGTGCGGCTTGGGTTTAATGTTTGACCAAGGTTTGCGTGTGTGGCTCAGATTTTCACATCATTGAAGATGGGGGTCAGAAAAAATATTTTCCAATTGTAAAAAAAAAAAAAATGATTGAGCAATGGTTTTATTTTTAAATTTGCTTTGATTATTATTACAGTTACCGGTCTGACCATGTTACAGTATGATAATTTATTTATTTTCAAGGGCTTTTCCAGATGATCATTGACGATTATTACATTTGACAAAGACATTAATTCAGTTCTCCAAAGTCTTGCGGGCCCCATTTATTAACCTCTCAATGGGCAGCATCTGGTGAAGTCTGTTTAATGGTGACCTAAATTAGTAGCCATCCGAACAGGTAGCCACCCGAACAGGTTGCCACCCGAACAGGCTGCCACCAAAACAGGTTGCCACCAGAACAGGTTACCGACTAAGCAGGGTGTCACCAGAGAAGGCTGCCCACAGGAAAGGCTGCCCCAGAGAAGTCTGCCTCCAAGGAAGGCTGCCCCCCCCCCCAGAGAAGGCTGCCCCCGGAGAAGTTTGCCAACTGAGCAGGGTGTCACCAGAGCAAGGGTGCACTTGAGTATGCAGAATCCGAGGAGGCTCACAGGCGAGTCCAGGGGAGTTGAAGAAAATGCCAGAGGAGCATCAAACTGTTTCTGAGCCCACGTTGCCAGAAGAACACAAGAGGTCGATGCTTGAGTGTATTGGTCATTTCATTCTGAAATCCAGATCAGAGCAAGAGACAGACATCAAGGAAGTAGCAGATATGTTTGAGGTTGTTCTCGCACAGAGTCTGCTAATGGCCACCGAAGAAGAGTTAGTGGTGTCCGTTCGCAAACTGACCGCTGTCTATGAGGAGTTATCTGAACGTGAACTTTTAATTGAAATACCAAGGCTGGGTAGGCGTCTAAAAGCAGAAGATTTTAAGTCTCGACGAAACCATGACACCATGAATTTCCCCCATGGGGTGACAACAACCCGAGTGACGCTCCTGCATATAACTTAACAATTATTTAATCTAACTATATTTTACTTCCTCAGGTATTAACACTGGGGGCTGTGGAATCTCCTCTATACGTCTGAGGCCCAGTTTGTTGCTTCAAAAGTCTCACGCAGAGCTTTTCCTCAACGTCTTCAACTCTGTGTTGTCTGAGACCGGGTAGCACTCAAAGAAAACACAGACATTGTATAACATGAGGACTGTGCATATTGTATCTTTCAATGGTATCTTTTCTTAATGGTTGGCGTTTGGGTAATAAGTTACCTCTGAGAATCCCCCAAGCAAAGTTAAAGTTTTAAGAACAGCATTATGATTCTTGCTAGTGCACCTATGTTTGGGTTTTAAATATTTAACCGATATTAGGTTGTTAAATATTAACTCATAGTTGAGTTTTAAATATTAACACATTTTGGTTGTTAAATATTAACTCATGTTTGGGTGTTAAATATTAACTCATACAAATAAAATGTACCATCACCATTATGTTTTCATATATTTTTTAAATCCTTATCTACTTTGTGTTTCAAACTAAGCACCAACAGTAGTAGCCTACAACATATCTGATACCAGAGCTTCTGAATTAATTTATTTACATTAACCAACAGTAGAAATTTAAAAAAAAACAAGAGAACCATTAGTGTCGTTGTGCAAGAGCACCCCTCCCCCGACCCCCACCCTTTTCAACAGCACCAAAAAAAAACAAAACAAAAAAAACAACACTACAATTTAATTAAAGTTGTAAAGTCTCACAAAAAAAAGAAAGTTATATTTTGAAAATAAAAATGGTTTTATTTAAAATTAAATTATTGATATGCTTCCTTCTAAATGTAGACCTTAAGTTGTGTAGCATCCTATTAGCAGTGAGACCAAAATTTAAGCAGCGTAACGGAACATTTCAGCAGTTATCGTTCATCTTCCAATACTGACTATGAACAGATGTTTGGCGAATCAATTAGATTTATAATAACTGTTGTACTTATACGTACGTAAACAAAAACTTCCTTCAGTCTTGTTGTGAACTGTTTGACTTGAAAGTCAACACAGGGTGGAATATTGAATGCTATGACACACATCACTACATCAGCTACAACAGCATTTTAATGTATGTATTCAACACAGTAATAAAGACATAGGTGCATGACAAGAAGAATGTATCGGCATTGTTACAGCAGGAAGCAGTGACCGATCGATTGGTTATTGTTCTCTTCTGATCTGTTTAACTATTTGACCTTTTGTGTAGCACCAATGACAGGCACTGACCTAGATGCTGTCCACTTGTCACACGTGTCCAGTGCAAGATGATATAAACCAATAGTTACATCAACAAAGCTAAAATAGGGTTGCCATGTAAATCACGGCTATACAAAGTGGAATCTCTCCAGACACATAACATAAATGCAGCTCAAATTCAATTCAATTAACAGACAAGTCACATCAAACAGACAAAAATGTCATACCTCATTCAATTGTGCAAAAAAAAAAATTTGTGCTTAAATAATACAGCCAGACCGCAAAAATATTCATTTAACAAAAAAAAACAACAACTTCTGTAACCCTTAAAAAAAGTGTCAAGAAGTTAAGAAATTGGATGTGACAGAAGTCTACAAGTGAAACAAAGCATTTGTTGAAAAGCTATCCCGCCTAGGCTGTATTTGTCAAGGTAATGCTGTGATGTAAGGTGCAGGTTATTATTCTCCCTTGGATCTACTTGTCTGTCTTAGTTGTGAGGGTAATGCGGCGATGTAGGGTAGTGTAATGATTAGAATGGCTGTAGCAATGAAGTAAGGGAGTCGATACATGGAGACCATGGCATACAAGATGGACAGCACAGCCAGGATGAATACTGACCAGCCTTGGACATCACTCTGGAACCTGGCAAGAGAGATCAGAAGACTAGTCATACAGTTTGATAATCAAGTTAGATTTAGAGATAATTTTTAAAAAAATATCTCCCTAATAGGAGGAAGAAAATGAAATCCTTCTGTGAGAACATCATGTCCTAAATGATGCAGCTTAATGGACTGACATAATGACATTCCGGTAGTGATTTTTTTCGTTACATTGTAAAATTAATGCTTGGATATAATGATACTGATGTACTGACATAGTGACACTAAATGCATAGAGACCGACAGAGAGACATTGGCAGAGTTTTAATAAACCAACCTGATGGGAATGACGTGGTCACTAAACAGAATCACCGCTATACACACACACACCACAAGGGATGGCAGTTGACTGGGGTCTGCGCTCAGGTGATACAACCAGGAATAGCTGGACAAACAGCGGACAAAAGGTTACTTTAAGATGACCTAATTCAAACTGAACTGCTTTAAAAAAATGTGACATGGTGAACAAATTTATTAGGCTTCTTTAATCATTTGATTTATTTTAATATATTATAACTACCCTTGCCAGTCATGTAGTAAAGTTATATGATTCAGTCTGATGGTGAAGACCATGTTGTGAATTTTTTTTTTGTAAGGCTTATTGTGCTGACTTTTAATTTAAACTATCTATAGCTAGACGTATGTGGCGACCGACATTTCATGTTTACCTGGCAGTAAATTTCATCCAAATAACCAATGGGCTTAGACTGAGCATGGTTTGAAGGTTGACCAACAGCATTACGGGGAAGATGAGAGACAGTCTGTTGTGTGTGATCTGAGTGTCCATCTTACGGCGGATCTCATACAGTAGACTTATAGTCTGGAACATAAACAAAAAGATGTTGGTTAATGAAGGAGGTGCTTGTTGCTTTTTTAGATGCAGTCTTATATCGTCGGGTAAAGATAAAAGTAAAAATATTTCCTTTTTTGTGCACAGTGCCGAAACTTTAACAGGTGTCTGTCAAGTTTGGGTATTCACTAGTAACCGCTGCGCACCGATATTGTGTGTTATTCGGCCCGGCGTGTCTTCTGTAAGTTTAGTTAATTAATGCTTTTGGTGCCATTAGGCTTGTGATGTATGGTGACTGTTTTGTATTGCAGTCATGACAGAGTGTCTATAGTCTGTCTTAGGCATACATGCTATTCGTTTTAACAGTTGGTGTGAAAACATTGTGGACAAAGGTTGTACCTTATCTTTCTACTTATAGCAAGCTGCGCTGTAGATTTAATTCATTCTACAGCCTGATAGATATCTTTCTGGATTAAAGTTTACACTGCTATTGGAAAAGGGACATGTGTTCAGTTTGGTGTGATTACAACGTATGAACGTGTAAAAGAATTTGATGAAAGAAACCACAATCATTCTCAGATTGCGACAGTGGCACACTGATAATTGTAACTTTTCCCCCCTCACATTCTGAAAATGATAAATGTTAGCTTTTTATAGCTTGATACAAACCCCATTAAATAATAATGGACTTCTTAAAGTGACTCCTTGAAAGTTAATATCCCTAATGCGATGGAGTTATCTCCAAACAGTGGATTTATGAGTAACTGAGAAATGTACCAACACACAGCCCAAAAGGTTGGTCAGTTCATCAGGTTATTAAAAGTATCACCTTTGTTATAAGCAGTGCGGATGTCAATAACAGCCCCAGAGTTCCGCACAGGAATGTCAAGGATATAGCAGCAGCACTGGCCAGTGCCTGAAGCAGGCCAGCTCTTTGAGTGAGAATGTTGGGCACCCTGGAAATTGTAACCAATCAAATATAATGTACCTGCTTCATTAAAAAAGAGGCTAATCCATGCTATTTGGTCATAACGACCAAGTCAACACAGGCATTTTAAAGAAATTCTTTCACATCTTGATGAAATAACTTTAAAAAAAAAAAATCTCTTTTTAATGAATTACATTTTTTTTCTTAATTATTACCAATATTTAATTTCATAGGTTTGTCTACTAATGTAAACAAGAAATGAAATGGTTGGATTAAACTGAAACACACAACTTACAGAGCCAAGATAAACCCCAAATAACTAAACATTTTCAACAAATTGAGAGCCAAGAATGAGTGGAGATAAGAGATGACCCATGCAAAGATGTACAGCAGCAAAGGTAGGACCAGCGTAAAGATGTTCTCCTCTTTCAACAACACAGTGTCATCTTTAGGGATGTCAAAGCTTCTCAGGAGCTTGCTGATGGGTCCCAAGCTGTGGAAGTCAGAAATAATACAAATTTACATAGTTTTTAAATCAACAGATGAATTAGGCAAAATCTTTCCAGTGTCTGACTAAAGCATCCATCAGTTACACAAAGGATCCTACAGTTCGACAATAAATCTTAATGTTCAACAATGAATTCTGCAGTTTAACAATGCAACTAATAAATCTTGAAATAAATCAATGAATCCACCTTTTAAAAACTTACTGAAAGACGTACCTCAAAACTAGTACCATTAAAAACTTACTGAAAGACGTACCTCAAAACTAGTACCATTAAAAACTTACTGAAAGAGGTACCTCAAGACTAGTACTGTTGGCATAATGAAGTATGGCTTACTACAATCCAGCAGGAAATCATATGGTGTCTGGCGCTTGATATTTACAGCTGTGAAAAAACACAAGTTTCCAAGGGTTAAATCTTACTGCTGTTTTATTTGATGACTCAACTGTTCTTTTATTTCATTTTGCTACCATTCGTTTTAAAAAGTCTGCGTGAATAAATCCATCTTTATTGATCAATAAAGAAAAAGAGAAAAGTGTGGACGATGTGTATATTGATAGCAACTAATCCAAATAAAATTCTCCAAATATTGATGGTGAGCTAAGTATATAGTAAGTTGATAAATAATCTGTGCGCTAGCGTTGTGTAGAACATTGTGTAGTTCTAAGTGATATTGTTAAATTTATCGTATAATGAACTGAACAAGATATAAAGGAACACTCTCTAAACGTGGGTCTCACTTGCAAATCAATAGATTTTTAAAAATTTAAACGCAAGAAATAAGCCCTGACCTTGACCTTTGCCCTGTGTTAGCACAACACCTCTCACAGCCATCAACAACACAGCCACAAGGTAACCAGGCAACAGCAGGGCATAGAATCTAACAGCCTGAGAAAGAAACCAGCTTGTTAAGACCATGGCATAAATACCTGTTCATTCTGTGTAAGAAATTCTTTTTCAAAAATATTATTGTAGTGATCTACAAATTATGCCAAGGTTAAGCCATGCATGAATTTCTTAGCTTTCGCCACTAACACTGAAAATGATGATTGGTGGTATTGAACATCAGTTACAAGTATTATTACAATATGGATTGTAAATTATTTGCATCAAAATTAAAAAGTAGGGAACAATAATTTAAATAATGTTGCTCCATTAGAAAACAAACAGACTCTTATTGGCTTATGATGGATCTCAAATAACACCTTTTGTATAATGTTAGGAAAATTTTGCAATAAATTAAAATGGATATTTTTTACCTAGGGGTAAATTTTTGTATCAAAATATAATTTGACATCACTAAGTAAGAAATGTAATGTACTGTTGAGCCAATCAAGATTATTTTGCAATGTCGGAAATGTCTCATAGTTTCACAGGTTATAAGAACCACAACGTTGAGACAAATATGACATCAGACATGATAGAGGAAAAATTGTTCTTAAATGAGACCATTATGGGAAAGGGCCATTCAGCAGATGTCTAATGTGAAAATTTCCATACCTGCCCTAATGCATCCTGAGTGGCAATGACCAGTCGAAGTCTGTAGTGGCAGTAAGGGTGCAAGAACATCTCAAGATGTGGCTCCGAGGCATCCTGTCTCCAGTCATAGTCACCTGGTCGACCGGTCTGAAGTTTGATGGCAAGGCTCAATTCTTTCCCATAGCTTGAGGAGAAGATCAATAGACAGTGTCAATTATCAGACACCATTAACATATCCTAATACCCAATACATTTTGCCTCTGAACTTGGGTATGTTCTCATTACTGAAGTTGTCCATTGATCTATCTATATTTTTTATGACCACCCACCTCTCCCTCATATGATGCAAAAAAAAAACAAAAAAAAAAAAAACAAAAAAAAAAAAAAAAAAAAAAAAAAAAAAAAAAAAAAAAAAAAAAAAAAAAAAAGCTTCATAAAGAATGATCTACAAAAAAATAAATAAAGTCCAGTACAATGACTTTATCAATTATTCCCAATAGAGTTAACAAAACAAAACAAGGAAAGTAAAGATAAAAAAACCATAAATAATGGTTGGACCCAAAAGAATAAGACTTAAAGTTACTTGTTGATTATTTTGAAATCTACTGATGGTTATTCAACCCTATTTCAAACCTCTCAATACTTCACAGGCCTTGGGATTTCTCCTGTAAAGTCTACACCATCGTCACATTGTGAAAGGTGGATGCCAAGAAGAAAAAAAAATACTTCACAGATAATATTTATTTGGGTTTATTTGATATTGCTTGAAAAATCAGTATGACTAATTGTGATTGTGGTTACCTTGCTTGTGTGTAAATATCTTCATTACTCCAGGGAATGTTCAAACGTAACACACCTCCTTCATATGGCTCTGCAGAAGATAAAAATGAACATGAAATATGATAGCGTACTGTTGAAAATTAAACTTGTGAAACTTAAGAGTTCATATTAAAATACAACTTTTTTTTCTTTTTCCCTCCAATTTTCTTAATCAAATTGTGCGTGAGCGCATCAATCTCGTAGAAAATTGATTTCCCAAAAAATCCAGACCCACCAGCACTGTGCCTGCGACAGCTATGCGGAGTGACAATAGCTTTGTAAGTGTTGGTTGGGAGTGAGAGCCCAGCCAGATGGAGGCTGTAGAAACTTGAGGCATTAGCTATCTTCAAGAGAGCGGCGCCATCTGTGGCAGAGATGGGGTAGGAGATGATTGTGTCATAGGTGTTAGGCATCTGGTACACCAGGTGGCGCTCATCGCTGTCATAATGATCAACAGTTAGGCTAACCTGAGGCGGATTTTGATAGAAAAATCATCATTAGTTTCAACAATTAGGAATTTGTCATTAAAAGCTTTTACAACATATGTTCTTTCATGCTTTACGGCTTATATGATGTTCGTGAATCAAAAATTATCTTATAGACATTGTTACTTGGATAAATTCAATTAAAGGGACATATCATGTGCATTGATCAATTTTCTTTTGTATTTTACAGTTTATGGGGATGCAAAAATAAAACTACAAAAACAATAATCTTAATGAATTCATATTGATAAAAATATTATTTTGTTATACATTTTTGATTACCGTAGCAACAAGATTCAACAACTTTGTTAAAAATCTGTTGATGCAAATTTAATATCCATGAAGAGCCCCTTGTTGCTTGTGCCAAGTGAATGAAGTATTTACAGGCATTACTCACCATTTTCTCTCCAGCTGCAAGCAGAATGAGAATATGTGTCCCGTTGCCAACCTCGACGTCTTTTTTAGTCACTCTCACATACTTGGGAGAATGGGAGAAGACAAAAAAAATCATATGACTTGAAAATCAAACAACCTTTGTGAACTTTGTCATTTTGTTTAGAAATCTGTAACAGTTTCCCATCCTTTAATTTACTTCTATTATTTATCACCCTTTATTTAAAATGTTATCATTATTGGTCCTGATTTTATACCCTATTTATTTCATTCCTGGCCCTGATTTTCTACCCCCTTTATTTCATCACTGGCCCTGGTTTACTACTCACTTTATTTCACTACTGGCCGATTAACTACCTCCTTTATTTCATTACTGATCCGGATTTACTACCCACTTTATTTCATTACTGGCTAATTTACTACCCACTTTATTCCAATACTGGCCCTGATTTACTGCCCCCTTTATTTCAAATCTAATTTTAAGAAGCCCAAATAACATGACCGTTCATGAGCAAAGTAACTTATTTTACAAAAAAAGTGACTCCCAACAACCTGAAACAAGATTGAGTGGTTATATTCTATTTTGGTACTGGCTATAGTCATCTGGGCTATACATTTTATTACAGTATCACTTGAAGGATAGATACGAGCAAGAACTGATGAACACTAAATGCTTCCGTCAAAATGGTATAAACAACAAATCTCTAAAAAGACTACTTCAGACCTCAGTCAATACCATGGCATGAAAAGGGGATGGACACCTGGGAAGACTCCGATGATGTCATACTTTGCAATGGTGGCTGGAGCATGTCTAATGTATCGAAGTAAAGTACACAAAAAAAACCTCCCTAAAACAAAAGCTGCCGTTAGGTCATTTTCCCAGACTGAACAGACGACATGTTTAGCGCTTTAATGACATGCCATCTTTTTTAAAAGAAATGTTCTCTTCAGCTTCTGAAACGGACTGAACAATTTAATTCTTAAAGAAACTTTTAAATGCTGAAATGTATTCTCAATTTACCTTTGTGTTGGAATAAGTTGGTGGCAGCATACGGGACCGGGAAGTCAAGCTTGTGCAGGATGTGCTGATTGTACGAGAGAAGAGAAGATTAGACGTCAAAAATTTTCTTCTAAGTAGTAGATCAAGCAATAAGATAACAGCTTTCATAGCAGCACCATTTACTAGAATAATTTATTTACAGAAACATCAACAACTTTGTAAAAGATATCTTCATGAAATTTGTAAGTTAAATTTAGTGAATTAAAAGCAGCCAAAAAAGACATTAAAAGTTTGTAGACCAATGGTGTACCTGCGTATGTGTTGCCAAGTGTGCTAATAAATGTCACAATGCCATCATTACAAATAGGTTAACAATAAAAGTAATGAAAGAATAGAATAGATGCAGCAATGGAAATGTATGAGCTTTCCCAAACAAGATAATGCGAATTAAACATACCAGCTGTCCTGCCCTTCAGGAATATGGCAAAAACACACCCAATCAGGGTTGGTCTAAGAGAGACAAATAAGAGGACAGTACAATTATAGTTTGTGCCAGACATCCTATAATTAAAATGTATTATTTCTATTTAGATTTGTATCAACAAAATAAGTGAGTTGAACCCTATTTAAAAAAAAAAACAATTTTGGCCACACAACATACCAGATTACTCATGATAAAAACAGAATCCCTTCCTGAATCCAAAGGAAAAGGCAGGGCCAAATATTTTGTTGTGGCCACCTGAAAATTAAATAATTCCTGGGTGACACAGATATGAAATAATTTTGTATTTTATTTAATGGTTATCTGTGACTTAAATAAAGTTTTTTAAAAGAAAAGTGTTTTTCTGTGGAGTTTTTTTGTTTTGTTACTGAGGCATTAATTTAAAAAATGGTTTGAACAAACCTTTCTTGATGTATACATCCATAATCTTTCATCCTTAAACTCCAGCTTGACCTTGGGGTCAAGGGATATGGATTTGTTTTCATCATATGTTAGATAGTTAGTCAAACCGTTATTGGATACAAAATGATGTCTGAAGACCTGCATCCTCAGCTCTGGATCTAGTGAAATCTGTAAGGTATAATATAATGATACAAGTTTCCCCAGGGTATTACCATCTCTAACATAATGTTTTACAGGACATCTGGAAGGTTAAATAGCACTCTTTTGTGCTTGTGATATCATTTATTTTTGTAAATAATTCTTTTATGTTTGAATTTACCTGATTTGTTTTCTTATCTATTAGATCAAACATGGCCCTTTTCGTCACAAGCACCATCTGACGACACCTGAAAGATACAAACATCTACATTTTTAGACATAATTTGACAACTTTTATAAATCTAGTCAGTTTTTGTTTTTTTGTTTGAACTTCAGTCTTGCCATGCGTTTTGTGCATTTTTAATTAAACCTTGGGTTGGATGAAAAATTTAACAATATATTCTATATATTGTTCCCAATAACTAGAAAAGCTAAACAAGACAAACTGTCACTAAGGGAAATTACAAAGTAAAGCAGAAATAAAGTTCAGAAATGAAGCTACAAACCAAACAGCACACAAGTGATCTGTTGAGACCCAGGCCTTTGGAGTGGACGTAGTCTACAGAAATACAAAATATGAGTAAAAAAATTCATTCTGTAACTTAAAATAGTTTTCTTTTTATTAAAACCAACAAAAAATATCTTTAGAGTTAGCTAATGAGAATATTTGCTCCTTTATTTTTAAAATCACTTTATTTTCAATTAATGAACTTGTAAAAGATATTTCATTCTAAAAAATGTTAACAATATTACAAATATGTCACTAAAAACAAAAATAAATATTTTAAAATCAACTTACAGCTACACTGACTGCCCTGCCAGGTGAAACAAGCTATAAAAAAAAAAACTGGGCATGAAAATAAAATTTTATAATTGAGACTATGAAAGACGCAATAGAACGCATTGTATACTAAATGCAAAAATGAGTATGTTGCACTTCAGTATCAGTTTTAATCATTTCTGTATAGTCCACTTAAGTTCATCATTTATTTTCAAATTGCGACTATTCCTCCAATTTAAATATAAAAAAAAAAAATTGATATTCAAAGATAAAACTGATATTTTGTTGAAAATTTACAAAAACTCTAGGTTAGCTTTTACTCAAAGTTGCAGTTTTTAAAAAAAGTCAGCCACATCAAAACATGAATAGCTTATCCTGTTGATAGATCTTACCCCATCCAATGTCGTCAGTCCGTGGCGTACTTGAATGTCCCTGTAACCACCCCCTGTACTGACCACTGTTACATGGTGCAGGACTGTAGCCATGTTATCTCGCCAGTATTGATTAACGTTTTTATAGAACTGTTGCAGATGTACATCAAGGGCAGCAACTGTAAATGTGTTAATTTTTACTGAACTCTTACATTCCTTTTAATTAGCTTAAAAAATTGTTCCTTAGACTGTTTAAAAAAATATGGGTTTAGACCCTTTGCTATGGATTGTTTTCAAAGTGTGTGATTACTGTTTTAATCTTGAGGTATTCTGCACTTCATACCATACTTCAATTAAGGAAAATTAGGCATCACCATTTTTTGGTATGCATGCTGAAATTTACTTAAAATCACTATTTCTCTGTTTAGAATTAAAGTTTAAAAATTGCACTGACCAGGCCTCTGATGGGGAGTTGCTTGGGTGATGATAGTGTTTACTTGAGATTTATCAAAGTCTGGTATTGTAAACAAAGCTCTTGCTATAAGACCTCCCTGTTAGAAATCAATTCTTTACAACTATTAATCAAATTCACTTCAAGGTTATTCAAAACTTTTCTTATGTGAAAAATATGTGCAAAAAGGGTGATATTAACTACAAATAGATGAATCAAAATATCATTAAAATATTGTCACTAGAATTTATAATAAAAAATTACAGAATGTTTGTTATTGTTAATAATAATGACTGTACGTAGCTCACTTACCATGGAATGTCCAACCAAAACAACAGATGTGGGTTGATGAGAGCCATGTTTATAGAGTGACAGTATTTTCTTGAGGCAGATATGAACAAACTCTGAAACATTTGATGGCCATGAGACAAGGTTGGATGAGGTTATAGATATATATTTTCACTATGTTCTGTTTCACTATGAAGATTGAATGATTTATTACAAAACAATTTAGGAGACTGAAAATGTAATTACCAAATTCAAATTAAATAATTAATGACTTGGGTTACATAATCCATATTTACCTGTCTGCTTTGTTAAAACACCACCATATAACCCTGACAGCTCCTATTGAGAAGAAGGATTAAGAAGAGGAAAAAGTATCAATAATATTCAATAAGTCTGCACCACAATATCATGATGTTTTGATTAAGATAAGCATTATGTTCCAACTTAAATATTAAATTACTTGAACTTGAAAGATGAATCTACTTCTTGTTTATTAATATACTCATTAACAATTATTTTAAACTCACTTCATTGAAATCCACGGCAAAATAATTAAAATGTGCTTTTGTATTTGATTTTTCAGCCATCCTGAGAGCGACAGATCCTAACGAGCGCACTTAGAATAAAAGAAATGAAGAGTTAAGTTCTTTTGCTAATTTATCTCTATTATTTATAAGCATTTAAATAACAAAAACTTTAATGGCAGATTTTCTTGAATAAAATTATGATGAAGTTTCAATTGAAATGAGGAGACGTTAAATTTATAATTCATAGAAATTGTAAACATGATCAAAGCCATGCTGAATACTCTTGAGTTTTACATCTCACCAACATACCTGTGATGATTTTATTTTAATGGCAAGGGTTTTGTTATAATAATTATATGATGTATTTTACATTTGTTCCTTGATGTTGATCCAGTTAAAAAGATTCTCAAATCTCAGTGTACTCTCAGAGAAACCTCTTGATTTCTCACCTTGTTTATAACTGCCAGCATTTCCAGGGATAAACAGGACTGGAATGCCATTGAGTTTAAGATTCCTAGAAATGTAATAAGTTTGGTTACTTAAGTATTGGTCAAAATAGCTCACAAAGTGCTGTCCGTTAATGACCAATGTAAAAACATGTTATAAAAACAAAGTTATAAAAACCTTTTACTTATCTATATTTATAAATTACTTACATTAAGTAAGCTGATTAATTTTTTACCTTATCTGGCTTGCATAATGCCTGTAAATAAAAATTAAATGAAAACATTTAGGCATAAGTGTTAATTTTGTTTTACAAATTAAATGTAAATATTAACAAAAATTTGTATTTGATATTTTATTTACTTTTAGCTTACCCCTCTCCATAGATGTAGAGCCCATAAAATGGGTACTGTTTTTCTGATTCAGAGATATCTATCTTCTGAAAAAGTGAAATACACAATATTTACATGGTTCACATTATTGCTTGATGATAATAAAGATAGTGTTAAAGTTGAACAAATTACTTCTTGTTGTTATAGCATTTAGATCATCTTTTTTTTTTACTAGTAATCACTAGCAAATAATAAATGGGTTTGGCCTTGGGCTACTGCACACAGTGATGGGCTAACTCACTACTAAGACTTGAAAATTATGAAGACTTAGAGTATAGGACTTAAGATTCCAAATTTCTTAAGTTTTTTTTTACAAATCTTATTCTGGATTGAAATGGTGACATTGAGATTGGCCTCCTGATTACTGAGACACATCAGTCTTATCAGTGACATCACACTTTTACTTTGTCCTTAACTCATTTCTTAACTGAGTTACACTACAGTCCTATAGTCACTACACTAACTTATACAAACACATTACCACTACTTACACTTTAACAGTTATCAAAGGCTGACTTCACTGTAGTAGTCACTAGAAACTTAAGTGACACTAGACTTAAATCGAGCTTCCATAGACATAATAGACTATAGTCTTGTCTATAATACACAGTACTAATAAATACTATTCACACTTCACAATCAAATTATTCATTACAGCCAGTGAATTCAGTTAATAAGGGAGAAAGACTTGCAATCAGGGTGGGTAGAATGACATAAGTGAAACAAAGTCATGGGAAAACTTGAAAAAAGGATGCAAAAAACAAAAAACATGTTGGCAAGAAGCCTTCTTCAGCAAACATACAACAGTGAAACCAAAATAAAAAAACAACAACTTAGCTGCAGTTTTAGGATCCAAGAGGACAGCAAGAGGAATGCAATAGACCATAAGTAGGTAAGAGAGTTAATATAGGCAATAGGATATGGAAGTGAGGAAAGCTAAATCCATGGCGATTGGTTATGACAAGGAGGGGGCGGAAGAAGAAAATAAGAAGAGATAAGAATCTATGAGATCTCTTTTTTATTTTGTATAGCCATATCCATGCTCCCCCTCACAGTTTGGGACCATGCCATGTGGACGCAGCCATTGCAAAACTTGCCCTTTTGTCATCCAGACTCAACACTAAACATTCCTTTCCCTAAGGGTCCTTTTCAGATAAGGGACAGTTCCCTTTGCACTTGCTGCAATGTTGTCTTTGTTTGCACCTGCTGCCATATGGCATATCTGGGGGAGACTAGATGGTGCCTCTCTGACAGATGTACTGAAGATCTACGAAATAGTGTGCATGATGTTGCCTCTATTATATTAATTCTCTTACCTGCTAATTAGTACTTACTCAAAAAACTAACGGTCTATAGTATTAAATTCATCTTTCTGTCCTCTCAGACACTACATTGTAGCTAAGTGTTTATCTAAATTTTTGGTCAATGCAAAGGAGTCGTGCCTTGACGACATTTACATGTTTTTGTTAAGTTTCTGTTTTTGATTCACTTCCCTTGTTTTTTGTTCCTAGAGTTAAATTTTTCTTAATATGACGATGGCTTGTTTTGTATTAAAAATTTATTAGTTGATTAATTATAGTTTTAAAATTTCATTGGTTGGGTAATTATAATATTTTAATTTTTCCTCCACATTTGAAAATGGATTTGGCATTGACTGCATTTTATTTTATTCATCTTCTGGATATTCTTTTCGGTGGAACCTGAAATAAAGTGTGTAAAAGTGTATTCTATGAAAATGTTAGATGGTTTTTCATTATTTATTTAGTTTGCAATTATTTTTATTGTTTTTCTTCAATTTTTTAGTTTTCTTGTCCCAGTGTGTAATGGCAGCCGCACACATGTTTTATACTTGAGGCTTTAGGCTAGTTTCAGGGTTTGGTTTAGGGATAGATTTATGGTTCGGGATAGATTTAGGGTTCAGGTTAGGTTTAGGGATACATTTAGGGTTCAGGTTCAGGTTAGGTTTAGTGACAGTGAAATATTTTGTGTACTGTAGTGTGTACCGGCTGAATTACATGAGGAGGTCGTCGCCGGTTCTTGCCAAATATCTAGACGGATACTATAAAGTAGCTATGTTCACCACAAAATTTATGTAGCAGCTGACACTGACAGTTTTTTTCATTAAATTTTAAGGTTTTATTCCTAATTTTAGTAGACGCGAGTTATTTTATTTTTACACAGCCGCCATCTTGGTTGCCACGACCCATTAACCCATAAAAGTTCAGGGCTCATAGCAACCAAGGTGGTGGCCGAGTGATATGTCATGGCTTCTTTGCATTTTACCAAATTTTTTATATTGGTTTTACTGAAAGTTACTGTTGTCGTTGTTGTTTGTTCGCTGAAGAGAGCTTCTTGTGGACACTTGGAGGCCAACCCAATTAGTCAATTAGATTTTTTGTTGCGTATTTTTCCCCCCAGGTTTTCCCATATCCCATGTCCATCGTGCCCACACTCATCCTCGGTGTCGACTCATTCAAATTCAAATCAATCATCAATGATTTTGAATAATAATGATCAAAATCAAATTTATTATTTATAAATTAGTAGCAATGATAAAGAATATCAAACAATTGAAATTGAATGTAATAATACTCACCCGGTAGTCTGGATATTCATACATGTACGTCATCTCACATCCATTATTTTCAAAATTTGTAAGAAAATCGTAAAAGCCTAGTATAATAATGCTTAATAGTGCTACAGAAATACTCATCGAGATGGGCGCCGCCATTTTGGAAGTTTCTTGCACAGACGAAACAATGTTTTGTAAAGGAATTAATATTCAATGTAAAATCAAACCATTCATAAGCATTTAATTGACATAATTATTAATTATTTAAAATTATTTAAACTATTTGGAATCAATAATGAATTTATAGTCCTTTAAATTTAATAATAAAATATTATAGTGGAATCTTATTTTGCAATCCATTTTAAAATTAAAAAGTTAACCACAACAGACAAAATAATAATTTTCGACTTCTAGACTCTAGTTTCTAAATAATGGCGTCAGATGCTATCAAATACGATGGGGCATTGCTTGCTATTCTTCAAAACGAAGGCAAAGTTGCACCATTTCTCGATGTCGTCCTTGGATTCCTCTACAGAAGGTTTTAATTATGATTGTGTGTCTTTGGCTTCTTTATACTTGTAGTGGACATCTAAGTCTAAGGGGCAAGGGGCCTAGGTCTACATTACTTGAATAATTATTCAATAATAACTATACTATAACTACTAGAATTGACTCAATTGTTTTATTTTTACTATCGATTATAGCCTATTATTATAAAGAATACTGGGCTATTGCCATATCCCCATAAACCTAATACTAATAATTATAATATATGAATAGCTAATCAATGGATTTGGATTAGCTATACTTATACTTATACTAATCATTAATCATGTAGTAATAATTATGTAACCAGCCTGTTCCCCTGGCCCCAGTAGTAATTACCAATGATATTATATAATGATAAAATATAATTTACTAGTTAGTAAAGTTTTACCTGCTGGGGTGCTTTGACTTTGAATAATTTCGGTTTCCCGGGCCAGGGTTCAATTTTTTATTTGTGGTGATGTGCATGTGCAATACAATATTAATATTGTCGGCTTACCATATTGTCAATATCGACACTTTCTTTTTCCGCTCTTGTGACAAAAAATGCGCTGTTGTGACCAGGAATATTTTTTTTTAAAAAATGTTAATTTTTCTGCTTTCCAATTTTCACCACAGCGTGTAAGTGTAACAAGTATTAAGTGGACTGGAGAGCCAAGGTTTAATGATATTTGAGGGAAGGGAGCAACCTCAGGCCATTGACACTTATTGCTGCGTAAATAGATAATAGAGACTAGAGGGATACAATAAAGTTGCTTCATTCCACACAAAGTTAATTTACCCGCCGAAGGAGCATTGACTGGTCATTGTCACTTCTTGTCGTTTTTCTAGAGGAATACAATAACTTTTCTACGTTTGACACGAAATTTATGTATGAGGAAGGAAGCATTGCGCTCTACCCATATGAATATGCTTAGGGCGATTTTCTCTCTAATTATCATGTAATATGCTTAGGGCACGTCTCACCTACCCATCACAGGCCTTTTTTTAATTTATTAACGCCCCTATAGAACCTATTCCTATGTCCTATTGACTATGATACTACTGGTCTATTGCAGAGATACACTCTGGAAACTACTAAGACATTATGGTATTTCTACAAAAGCTACTTAACTTAATTAAGAACACATAGAAGGATATGAGTTGATAGACTCTGGAGTTTGACAGGGATGCCTGCTCTCACCATTCCCCTTTCTGTTATCCATTGACTGGATCATGAGAGAAACAACACGGGTGGGAAAAATGGAATCCAGTGGACACCTTTCAGACATTTGGAGGATTTTGATTTTGCCGACAACATTGCAGTTTTATCATATAGCCATAAACAAATGCAGTAGAAAACAACAACACTTGACTCTGTGTCCCAGCAAGTTGGACTTAGCATAAATAAAGGGAAAACCAAGACATTGAGAATAAGTGCAGTGGGTGATGGAGTCATTGGGATAAACCTGAGAGGAGCCTCTCTTGAAGAAGTTGAGACTTTTAAATACCTGGGAAGCATAAATAAAAATGGTGGCACAGATGAGGACATGAAGTCTAGTGTCCAAAAGGCCAGAGGTGCATTCAATGCCTTGGAACTCAAGTGAAATACTGACAAAAACAAAGTTAAAAATATTCAACTCAAATGTCAAGGCACTTCTTCTGTATGGCTTGGAGAACAACAAAAACAAACATTAAAACACTGCAGGTTTTTTAAACAGATGCTTGGGAAGGATCCTCAAACTAAGATGGTTTAACAAAATTCTTAACACTGTCCTTTGGGAGAGAACATCAAGTGTTCCGGTGGAAACGGAGATAAAAATGAGAAAATGGAGATGGATAGTGCACACATTAAGGAAACAAAACACTAACATCACAAGAAAGGCCCTGAAATGGAATCTTCAAGGTACCAGGAAAAGGGGAAAACCAAGAGCCACATTGGGAGAGGGGAGTAGAGACAGAGGTGAAAAGAATGAAGAAAAGCTGGGCTGAACTAGCAAAAATTGCCCAGGACAAGGACAGATGGAAAAGTATTGTGGATGACCTTTGCTCCATTGGGAGTGAGAACGGCTAAGAAGAAGACTAGTCTATTGATTTAAATATTTTTAGGCCACATTTGCTTGTCTTCAGTCAATTTGGATTGAAATTTAAAGTATTTGTTAAACCAACTATTATTAAATTAACTGAACAATGTAGTTAGTTTAACCCTAACTCTATCTCTGATTCATTTAATTATCTATTAAGAATTGTATTTATTAAAAAGTTTAGGCTTTGGCTACATATTATTATCATTTATTATGTAAACGTTTCAAATTATCTAAAATAGGATCACTGCACATGGGCTGACACTTCGCAATTTCCAAAATGGTCCAAGGTTATTTTGTTGCATTAATAGACAAGCAGTCACTCTCCATTTTTTAAATACCATTAATAGTTAATTATAGCGATACATACTTAAAATTATATGGGCCTAATATTAGATTATTCAATTTAAAGACAAAGTAAAAAAAACAAAAAAAACTAGAGCTGGGTTTCTTGAAATAAAATTTTCATAGAACTAGGCTTAAAACCTCCATTTTCTGATTTATTAAATGTATACTTTATTTTGATATTCACTGATACGATGATTACTTTAGTATTGATTATAATTTATAAACTATACTATATACATTATGAAGTATTATACTTAAATAGGATATAGGCCTACTGCAAAGTAGAGTAACGATGTATGAAAGTTTTCATTAAAATATTTAAAGTATAAAAAAATATTTTAAAAAAACATAAAGCCTATAAAGGTTAATCTCAAGACCTTTTGCAACTTACACCAGTACTTAGTTTTGTTTCACAGGGCTAACAATTATCATGAAAATATTGACATTTTTTAGAATTAGAGTTTCATAATAAAATATCAATTAAATCAATTGTCATCTAAATACATTTATTAAGAGTATCATCTATAAAAATGTTTCTAAACGGCTGCAGAGGATGGAAGTCAAGATTCTTCTATTTAGTGTTAATGAACATAGATTTAATGGTTACATAGTATAAAATTATATATTTTGTATTTCAGAACTGATTTCTTTCGTGTTATGAAAAAAGATACTGACAAGCTCGGATTTCCACCTGGTGTAGCATTCAAACTATTAGAAAATGTAAGTAAATGGCATCAGACTTAAATATATGAACTGAAGACATATATATAGTTGTGATTTGCATTAAATGTTAGTTCAAATTATGTGTTGGCTTGAAAAAACATACAGCTTCAGAAAATGATCAGCACGTGGCTAAAATGCCAACTGACATTCAAGTAATTAACCTCTCCTTATTGACTGCTAAACTTAATACTTAATGCCAACATTATAAACCCCCCCCCCCCCTCCACATTTCATTTCAATACATCAAATTGTATTTATGTGACTCCATTTGTGTATTGATATATTCTTTCCCGATTCATTGTTTTTTTGTTGTTTTTTTTCACTTTTACTTTAGAAGTCTTTATTCTAACCTCTTAACAATGTAACTAACTGAAAAAAAATCAATATTTTTTTTTTTACAGTTACGTTCCTATTAGTTATTTTTTGTTCAAGACATTATTTAATTTTCAGTTGTTTGTTGGAATGTGAGGAATAGTTTAATTTTTATTTACTTCAAACTGTATATATTTTCCTTTGACACGTTCTTGTCATCTTTATCAGTACTTGTCTTTTTGAAAACAGATATTCAAGAAATATGAATCTTTATCAAAACAAGACTATTTAAAGGCAGAAAAATTAAAAGAATCAAGAGAAAAGGAAAATGAAGGCAAACATGAACTTATGGAAACTGAAGAAGAAAAGTCTAACAAGAACAACACTGATTTGTTAACCACAGGTTAGAAAAATTTCTGAAGAATAGTTGGTTTTTTTAAACATGGACTTCTAGGATAAATTTACTTATTAAAACCATTAATTTTTATTGCCCTGTTAGAGGGTATTTTGTGCACCTTACTTCCAGTGGCATATCCTCTAGCCTAGAATTTTAAAAAAAAAACAACCTAGTCATTTGGAAAATATTCTAACAACATTTCAATACCTCTTTTATTTAGTCTGTTATATATTTGTTATATTTTATTATTTTTAAAACTTAAAATCACTCATTATGTTACATTATAAAGATGAGATAAAGAATTGGACGCTGAATAGAATTTCAACTACTGAATTTAAAAAATATATAATTTCCAAGACTTGTGTTTGAAAACTAATCAACATATTTTGTGTATATTTTTGTAAAAATTATTTAATTCAAAAGATCTGCAGCAGAAACAAATGGTCACAGATGAGATGGTGGTGTGAGGTATGGCCCGTACTTATAGTCGCGTACCAATTGGTATTGGTGTGGTTAATACGGGGGTCGCTCCTCTCTGTGATAGTTCAGTAATCCAGACATTGAGGAATACAAGGAAGACAACACAAACTCCAATGCATGACCAAGAAGCTCTTCAGTGACAGTTATAAATAAAAGAATGTATTGATGGATCTAATATAGTCTAGTAATTTTTCTTTTTTTCTTTTCCAACTGTTAACATCCATTAATCTCCTAAAAGGCCTCCAAAACATTCCCCCCCCCCCCCCCCCCCGGAAATTGCACTGGAAATTCATCATTTAATAACCATGGTGCAACATATGGGGAAGTTCCGAACAAAACACACCATTGCTCACTGACACCATTATGAAAAGAACACCTAGTAAAATCATAACAATCCCCGTCCACCCTATAAATTACCTGAAGAAACAATGGAGCGCCGTTGTTAAACCCCGCCCCAGTCATTTGTGACACAAATATTATATTAGATGATATTCAGTAAATAAATTATTATGAAAAAAAGGAGCCCTGACTCTCAAATTTGCCTATGCCACTGCATGTTGTGTTTTTCAAAGCTATGTACTTATTTATCAGTTTTACAATTTGTACCCAATGGTGTTACAATAATCTTACTAGTGTAACGATTAAACTTAAAATCAAGGTAAAAAGTAAATTCCCTCAAATCCAATTTGAAATAATGTTATAAATAATGTTTTTAAAACATTTTGCAGAAAATGAAGGCAACTGCACAACAGACAGCAACCAGACAGCTGAACAAGCATCATTACCTGTTAGTCATCATGAACCTATGGAGAGAGGGCCGAAAGATACTGAAGAGGAATCTCCGAGTCATTCTGTAAAACAAAGGGATACTGCAAGTGGAGCAAAGCCTAAAGAAGATGATGAGGATAATGAGGACCCAGAGCAGGCAAGGTGTCTACTAGTAAATACAAGTACTTAACTCTTGAGTTTTTTAAAAAGTGTAATTTTTTTAGCTATAGGGTGATATATACTTATTAAACATATCCTATGAAATAGAGATGTTTTTATCTCTTATAAATATTGTTATGGTTCAGCATCTTGTCCACATAATCACTTTCGACATCATTATAATATATTTGCATGCATCATCTTGATTATGACCTAATATTGGTATTGGTAATGGCTATTTAAACTCTGAACTTAAATTAATGAACACTTTACCTACTATATTACCGGTATATCCACTTCAAAATGTGCCCTCATTGCTCACTTCACATACCGGTAATATATTGTACTAAACTCTATTTGGTTGATTTGATTGAACTAAGTTACGACATGAGTTATTGAAGCAAATTTGTGGGAGTTACAGTTCTCAGACGTCAGAGCAAACTGCCATTAGCTTTCAGATATTTGTTCATTACTTTACCAGTGTTTCAAATAAGTTTTTGGTTAGTCTTTCATAGAAGTAGAATAAATTTTACTGAAAATTGTGACTTTTAGTTGCAGATATACTATAACTATTGTCCTCTTAATTAAATGTTTACAGTAAAAGTGTGGACTCCTAATCATACAAAATGTAATGGAATTTCCTCTCCTATAATGTCAGGCAACGTCGAGCACTGCAAGCTAATCCCTTAACATACAATGGAGCTGAACGAGACAGTTATTTTTGGTCACAATCAATAACAGAAGCAGATGTTAGGGTTAAGGTAAGTAGACATTAAAATGAAAACGATTTATTGAAATGTGTTTCTTAACATGGACAAAGTAAATAATTGATTGGTCATAAATTGTCTTAAATCCAAAATTTTTGTTTTGTTTTTGGGTTATGTTCAGGTGCAAAAATCTATTGTGAAAGGCAAGCAGGTGAAGGTGGACATAAAGAAAAAACATATTACTGTCAAGAAACAGGAAGATGATGGAAGCTGGACAGATCTCGTAAACAACGAACTCACATGGGAAATAAATTCAGAAGAATCTGTGTGGACACTCAGTCCTGGTGAATTTGTACATGTAATTACAGGTTATGTTATCATTTGGTATGGTTGACAAAAGCTAGAAATTCTTAATTTATACTTGGAGATCTACAGTAGTTTTAAAAATTAAAAGGTAAAGAATTTTAAAGGACCTATTTCTTCATTGCCTTTTCAACCCGTAGTGGAGCATAGGCCATCAATATTATTCCTGTCTCTTGCAATATTCTCAATCTCCTTCCAAATTTTTCTGATCTTATTCAAAATTAGAGACTTCATATGTAAAAAAAAAAATGTTTTCTTAAATCTTTCTTTATCCCTGATCATCTACAGATTAACTTGGAGAAGAAACAGGAGAGATGGTGGGAGAATGTGTTTGTAGATGAACCTAAAATCAACACTCGTAAAATTGATTGCAGTCGACCCATGACAGATCTTGATGATGAAGCTCAGGCAAAAATTGAAGAAATGATGTACAATCAAAGACAAAAACAACTTGGACTGCCACAATCACATGAATCGGTAATCTACACTAGTTACAAATTACTACAGGGTATCTAATCCCAAATATTCCCTCCACACCAAATTGGATTTCATAGAAAAAGTATAATTTTTTTAAGTTAAACTGTTATAAAATCAATAAGTATGTCCCACTGAATGCCCAGCCTAAGTGTCCTAACAAGATCAAAATAAAGAGGCAACAAAATGACAGGAAATAATATTTTAATGACATTGTTCCCTTTCTGATTCTGTGCACACCCATTAAATAATATACTTTTGACATAAAGATAATGTTAAAAATATGATTTTATCACTAAAAATAATGTAATGTACAATGAGAAACCTGGCTGTTTACAGTTGTCATTTTAAATATATTTTACAGAAAACTCAGGAAATGCTGAGGAAAGCCTGGGATGCAGAAGGTTCCCCATTCAAGGGTCAACCATTTGATCCTGGCCAATTTAGTGTGGATCCAAGTGGAGTAGTAAATTTTAAAGACTGAAATGATAATTGAATATGTGTATTTTTAATCAAGCATTTCTCTGAGCAGCAAATTATCATTTAATTCTTTACCATTGACATAAAATGTGTATATAGTAAACAAAATGAAATCTTTAAACTGATTTCTAATTATGTTACAATGTTACAAAAGTTATTGTACCAACTAGCAAATAAGAAAACAATTTTATACTATTAATATTAACAGAAGCATCCAGCTCCAAATTAATTATAATTATTAAAATAGAGATCATTAAGAGGTTATCAATTAAAATAAATAATAATAATAAAGTTCATTTCAAAAACACGCTTCATCCCCAAAGGCTCGAAGCGCGGTACAAAGTCAACAAAAAACAAATCTATAATTTACCACATTTAAAACAAACGCAACACTACAAAAATCCATTGGGGTAGCATTTCCACAGAAATGGATGTGTGCAATCTGAACGGGGAGGGGTGAAAAAAAATGGACACCCATTCACACAAAAAATCGCCACCCATTCACAAAAAAAATCGCAAATGTCACATAAGTTGTACCAGTAGTTTGTTATTTTTACTTGGTACAATATTAGGTTAATAAAGATTCACTTGTTCACTCTACAGAAGAGAATTAGTGTTTGTTTCACTACAATTTAAATAATTAATAACTTTCACTTAAAATAATTTAGTTGAGTTATCTGTATAAAATATATCCCCTTGAACTTGAAGCTAGTTACAATAGTTTTTAAAAATTAAAAGTTGCTATTTCAAAGTTTTTTTGTTATCAGTGAACTTAAAATTCCAGCACTTGTGATTTTTATGGGTAATTATGTAAGATTACACAGTATTTGTAACTTTTTTTTTGAAGCAGACTAATTATCTTGAGCATTGAATTTTGAAAAAGTTTTATACTGGTACCATACCAACTGTTTGTAAATTTACAGACCTAAAATTACTTGTCCTGTTAAAAATTGAGAAATAGTTAAACAAAACCCTCAGTTTTTTTTATTCCTTCTTGCTAGTTTTAAACTTGAATAATCATGTTTGTCTGTTAGAATTTTGATAACTTAAATTTAAATGCTTGTACCTGTAATTAAATTTTTTTGAGTGGAGAATTGTAATGATAATCTATAATATAAATGCAGCGTACCGGTACTTTGTTAAAATTTAAATTTATTTGGGAATAAAATTAAAACACATGTACTCATTGCAGTCACTTGTTTCTGTTACCTTAATTAATGTTAATTAAAATAAAGTAATTTTTAAGAAACTACAACAACCTACAGCAGTGTTTCCCTGTCTTAAATTTCAGGGGTATGAGAAAAATTAAAATAATAAATAAAAAGTATTATTATTAAGGGCCATGGGGGCGTCCATTAATTACGTCAACAAAATTGGGGGGGGGGGGGGGGTTTGACAGTTGTTGACAAAGGGGGGGGGGGGGGTTTTAGATAAAGTGACGTCATCAATCTTGTTTTTTCTATTAAAATTTTAATCTTAAAAATTTACTGGTTCTTACATTATTTTAAACAATTTTTTAAAACAATTTTTTAAAACAATTTAATGGGTGTAAATAGTCATTCATGTTTAGGCTTTTAACAATATAAGTGTTATTTAATGTGTGTCTGTCTGTGCACTGCAGATGGCTGGTCAGAATTTTAGCACACTTTTATAGTACAAGAGAAGTCAAAAGTTTGCATCTTTTTACCTGTCATTTGTCTCTTAATCCGCTCCCTAAAATGATTAACACATCATTGTACAGGGTGTTCAATTTTAAAAAAAAACACCAACTCATCGGTGTTCAATAACAACTATATCGGTACCAACTCAAAGACAGAGAGAGCTTAAGGCAACTATTGCTCACACAGACAATGCTTCGATTTTAAGTGCTGAATGGTTAGATGAGGATGATGTTGAATTGTCTGGTATATCAGTTCGACAAGATGAAAATTGTAAATCAGCTACTATAGACTATGCCCATTGTTAACTTGTTATTACTGGAGGCACCACAGAACATAGCAATTTAAATAAAACCAGCAAAATCGGGAGTTTGGGGTCAAATGCCCACCGCCCTACCCAAACGATGTCCCTGATGCCCATTGTTACGATAGAGCAACACCTGGCTACTCCACCCAAGGGCATGGGAAGATAATAGCAGCTGGAAAGTACGGGTATACTATAATTGTCAGCTTTACTGACAATATCAATAATCATATTTATACTTCCACACACAATTATATTTAGTCTTTAGCTAACTTTTAATTGATTCTGCATTGTAAAATTTAAAAACGTTTTGACTTGTTGATTAACAAAAGAAAGTTTTTATAAAATGGTTTTCCTACAATTTTGTTTTATTAAAAATGAATCAGCACAAAGTAAAACATATTAATTTATATTTTTTTATATTATAATTATAATTCATTTTTTTGGTGGGGGGGGAGGGAGGGGGTATAAAATGTTGACATAATAAAATAGGGGGGGTCGTCGGAAGTTTGACATTGACAGTTGTTGACAAAAGGGGGGAGGGGGTCGAAAATTGCGGAAAAATTGTTGGCGTAATAAATGGACGACCCCATAGAGCTTTCTTTAAGTTATGATATAAAATTATGTTAAATTAATTAATTAAATGTCTATATTATTTAAATTACCTAGGTACCTACTTCATTTTTTATTTTAATTGACACGATAAATGTCTAAGTTAGCTCTTTCCCTTTTTTATTTCAAAATAATTCAAATTCATTTATTTCCATCCTCATCCAGTTTTAAAAATGCAGTTTCACTTTTTTTCAAGTTTTGTAGTTGTAGGGGGAATTTGAATTCAATTAGTGGAGGAGGGGGTATGCAAGACTTCACACACTTGTAATTTGGTAACCATTTTAAGGTTGTGTTGAATATTAAACAGATAGGGAAAACTATACCCTAAAAAAAAGAAAAGGCAGTGGTGTATATAATATATACCCAATTTAAAATAATCCCTAAATGAAAATTAAGTACCGGTACTTGACTTAACACAGTGGTAGTAGTGTACCAATATATTAGCACAATTTAAATGTGACCATTTCTTAATTTTCTTGAACCAGTACATGTCTAACCTTGTTTCCCTTACTATTCGTGCCATGACAGTACCCACCGTACCGAGTATTGATTTAGCTGTTCAACTGGGACAATTGTCACAAATGAATTATCTTTCTTCTCCTTTAGCTTTTAACTTTATACCAGCATGTGTCAAGTCCAAATATTTATTGTTTTAAGTTAACTAAATGCTTATTCTCATTTTGGGGCTGAACGAAAACTCTTTAATGGCCCCAGCAAGCACCTTACAGTGACATGTGTGCCGCATCCATATTTAAATTTCAATGGAGTGTTCCCAACCCCACCACTTTCCAATGTCTGGCACTGCTGCTCAGTGAGATTTCAATCTTTTAAAATAGCTGCGAGTTGGAATTTTCTTTGCAGTTCTAATTAATTAAGCCTTTTACTTAAACAAAATGTATTGGTGTTAAATGTAAAAAGGAAGACCAAAGAATACATAGAGACTAGAGCTAGAGGCAGACACACAAGTACAGTATGAGATATCTAAACACCTGGAAAATTCTTGTTGGCATACGTCCTATGTGCGGTAAAAGGTAAGAAAAATGTGATCAACTGCAGGTTGAAATTTCAATTTTATTTCAGGCTCTTTGGAATTTCAAATGTTTATAGACTTCAAGTCTGGAATATCATTAAGTTGTAAAAATGATGTTAAAATTACAAAACAATTTCAAGTGACCTACTAGAAACTAAGACGTGATAGATTAGAATTAGATTTTGAAAATAAGCCTCAGGTTTTTTATTAAAAATGATAAGTATAAGATATCACTGAACAGTTTTAGGTTTGCAGTTTTATCTTTAGATGTTTTTATTTCACAGATGTATAAATTTGTTAAGGTTTATTTCGATTTTACTTTTTGTGAACTTGCCTTTCTGATATAATCCAGTTTAAAAGTTTACTACAGTACCTGTTCTTGTAAAATTATTTTCATCACTGTTCTGTTGTAGCTATTATTTCCTATATTAATATTACCATGAACATTTTAAGGTACCAGTAATGGAAATTCTCAATTTTCTGTGCTAAAAATACCAATTTTTATTAGGTTTCTTGAACATAATTTTGACACCTAAACTTTCATGTTTGTTACATTCATTACCGGTATATATTAATATTTTATGTACAAGGGTGTGGTGTAAAATGAATTAATAGCTTTTCAAAAATCCATCAAATTCTTAGTTTTTGGTAACATGCCTTGCTGTTTTCATTTGTGCCTAATAACTACACATTTTAATATTCCCAAAACCACACATACATACACAGCTTACTTATCACTAATTGTATAAAAATAGCCTAAAAGTGTGCTTTGGCATTTTATTTTTCAAACAAATAGTATTTGTGCTTTTATCTCTTTTTGAACTTTATTAGCCCATCAATTCCAGATGGTATCTATGGTGAATCGCTATGTATGGAATTGTAAGATGGTAATCAAATGTAATTTATCAAAACAAGCTGGAAGCCTGCATATTAACAGAGTGTAATAAGTTTTAAAAAAAAAAAGAGAGTTCTATTAGACTACAATCACGCACTCATACCATAAGAAAACATTGATTTTTAATAGACCACCAGTTTTATTAACTCATAAATCCTTTAGCTAGCAGTTTGCCTCTCTTTCCACAAAATGAGGGGTCCGTGATTTGGTTTGTACTGAACACCAACACCATCTGGGACCAGTTTTCCATCTGCCCTCATTGTTTCATACTCTTCACGTGACCACTTTGTGAATCCCCATTTCTTGGAAACAACAATCTGAAGAAGAAAAAAAAATCAATGGGATATCCATGATTAAAAACCAAAATAATACCGGTATAAATTTGAGAATTTTCCTTTCAATACCAGTACTCCATATAACAATTTGAGAATTTTCCTTTCAATACTCCATACTATTAGCTTAAAAGTGCACCAGGTTAAAAAAAATATTTGGATGTGTACATACCTTTTGTCTGCCAGGATATTTGAACTTGGCACGACGCAGAGCCTCAATAACCTGCTGTTCGTGATTTTCACGCGCACGTACAGACATGATGGGCTGTCCTATGTTGACACGGGCTACAGTTCCCTGGGGTTTTCCAAAAGCTCCACGCATACCGGTCTGAAGTCTAAAATAAAATTCAAATCATGATAAAACACTATCCTTCTAGTAAAATAAACAAAAACATGATCATGACCAGCAAGACATAATTATGATATTGCTTCTCCCTATCATAGTTGAGAATATCAAGGAACAATTATTTAACAATGATCAATTTTAGAATTGAAACACTAAAATTACCTATCAGCACCAGCACACGACAACATCTTGTTGATCCTGTTGATGTGGAAAGGGTGTAACCTAACTCGCAGATGAAAAGCATCTTTACCACAGTTCTTCACCAAATATTTATTGGCACAGATACGTCCAGCTTCAAGAGCCTCAGATGACAACTGTTCATACTCATCAGAGATCATGTGGACACAAAGAGGAAACTCATCTACGCGTGCTTTCTTTCTGCCCAAATCAAATATCCTGATCTTTGGGTCTGAAACCAAAAAAAAAAAAATGTCAACACTACTCCATTCAGTCCAATATTGAGCTTGACAAGATTGTCGAGCTAAAGTAGGATCATCATTCCATATAGTGCAAATATTAAAATAATATATAAGGAATGAACTTACCAGGAACACCACGACAGAAACGAGATTTTGGGTATGGTTTGTTTTTGCAGTAACGATAGCTGAAAAGTAAAATTGAACATTTATATCTATTTGGACCCTGAATTAGGAATTAATCTTGCCAATACTATTTACATAAATATCACACTATGGTATTCGCATACGCTTAAACTTAAATTAACAACTGGAATATTAAATGTATCACAAACGATAGATTAAAACTTAAAACACATACACAACAACTCGACAAGAAGGTGTGCACAAATTTCGATAACTTACCATCGAGCTGGTCGGCGACCCATTTTGATCTGAAATTTATTTTTTAAAATCAAGATATAATAATTGTTGACGAAATATGAAGTAAAAATGCGTATTTATTATAAATATTTGAATAAATATAATTATATTTACAGCTGAGTCACGATGATTTCTGATTTTCATAAGGTAATTTAGAACTTACGGGTTGTTTTTCCTCCGACCTAAATTAAAGAGAAAGAACTCATACAGAACGGAAGTCATGTGACTATTGTCGGTCGGAGTTATCTTTGGGGAGGCAGAGTAGGCGAGTTTATTAGTCTGCTAAAAAAATATGTAAACAGATAATTTTACCCCAAATTTGGAATAACATAATGGGTAGAGTCAAAACGATATTTTAAAATCGTATTCTGCAGCATGAGTGGTAAGACCTTATTTCTATCTGTGTCATACAATGCATTATTGATACAAATGTAAGTAAGTCATCCAATTATTATGAGTCTCAAACTCAAACTTACTAAACTTACTTATTTATTCAAGTCAATGATTCGTTATTCATTCCTTTAACTTAAAATTACTTTACACTAGACATATTAATAAACTCAAAAAATTATCATAATTATTAAAAATGAAGTTGTAATTAAAATGAAATTTTAATGAATTAATTTAATAATAAATCACATATGAAAATGTGCCTAGTAGTTCTTGGTAGTCAGAAACTAGCCTCTAGGGCAGACTGTACTACTAACCCCCCTAAAGTAGACTAGGACTAGAGTTAAAGTGGAGCAGCCTTTCCCAAGCCCAAACCTTTAATTTTAAGTTTGGTGGGCAGATGGATAAGTTTCAAATTTGCACCAGGGACTTGGACCAGATTTATTAATTACTAGATGCAGACAATGCATGAACTTTCCATCTACTAAAGTTACTTGCCAAAAACGTGAACTCAAGTTACACACATTTAAGAATACCAATTTTGCTACACCCCTTCCCCCCCACCCTTTTCATGATATGTCACGACACACTTTTTATTTCAAGCCGACCCACTGCTTAGCAGGTGCCGCGAGCTGGCTGGCAAGCGAGGGTGGCAAGGGAAGGGAGGGTTTGCCTGCATCATCTTGCTTGCTCTGGCATATCTATGTATAGCCTGCGTGGTCATTTTGGTCTTTTTTTTTGCCCTACTTCTGGCGAATTATTTATATAGATTTATTTTCGTTTTATTTATCAATAAATATTTATGTCATGTTGTTCCGGTCCGTGGACTACCATTTGGGGAATGTACATAGTATAGAACAGAGGAGAGATATAACTTATATAATTAACTAAAGCTACCAAGTCTCATTGGGTGAATATATATTATTTGTTTTTATACAGTTGTTATTTAATTAAATAAATTTATGTAATTTTTTAATGTCATGATTATATTTGCTAATATTTTTATGTGCAGCGCGGTGACCCAGCCCCTAGGCTGGGGTACTGTGCTATATAAGACCCCTGTAATAGTAATAATAACTCAAGAGGTAAATGCTGGTTTACCATGGCCACCATTTTGGTTGCCATCATGGCGGAGTGTTATGGTTGCAGTGTAAATCAAAGAAGTGCAAACACACATCTGCTAAAATGGGGAGGGAAAATGAGAGAATGTGCTGTTTTAGCTACATACTGAGAGAAACAAAAAAAGGAACAAAACTTTAAAACTTTCAGGTGGTACATTATTATCGTGGTGAACATAGCATCATTATTCTATCTTTATAGATATGTGGCAAGAAGTGTCAACGACCTGTGGTCGCTCCCTTCCATCCATCCCTTTGTCACTACATCCCATGTCTGCCTCACCCCATCTTTCCACTCTGACCTAACTGATGCTTTTCTTTGCCATGCTTGGCTTCCAAGCTGCTGTAGATCCCTCTTCACATCATCCATCCATCTAATCCTAGGTCTGTCTTTAAGCCATTTTCCTCTGGGGTTTTGGTGATGCACCCTTTTTACTCCTCTATCATTTGGCATTCTTAGTTAGTGTCCAGCTCCGTGTAGCCTGCCCTATTTTATTTCTGCTACTAGTGTGGCATCCTGAAATAAATTATAAAATTTGTGGTTGGTTCGTATTCCCATCCTTATTCAACCTTTGTTGGTATGTATGTTTTAGATTTTTTTTTAGGTTTTCTGCTGTTTTTGTAAGGGTACAAGTTTCACTTTGCTTTTTATTTAATGTTTTTACTTTTGAGTATTTTCTGATTGTTGAAGTATGCACTGTTTCCGGCTGATATTCTTTCTTTTACTTCTGTTAGTAATTCATTTATTTCTCTAACAATGATCCTAGGTAATTGAATTGATTTACCTTTTTAAAAATGTGGTTTATGATTTTAATGGTTTTATCGCTATGTTCTTCTCTCAACACAGTCATTTCTTTTGGTTTTTTATTGTTTACTTCTAGTCCTGCTTGTAGTGATGCATCTTCTAATTCAACAAAAGCTTGCGATATATCAATACTACTTTTACATAACTGCGCTATGTCATCAGGGGGTAGAGAGCAGTGTCATGTAAAATTTATGACAATTCTTTTTATTTGTTTTTTTTAAAAATTCTTATGAAGTTTTCCTCAAGTCTTGCAGGACTGTTTGTATAATAAAAATTTGGTTAACACTAACAGTAAGAGTTTAATATAAATGCTTAAAACTTTTTTGGGCCAATGATTTATTGGACTGGGGAGGGGTAGTTGCAAGAAATGTTATGTAATATGGGGGGGGGGCGGTGTTGATGGACATGTAATATAACTTTATAAGGGGTAGGGGTGGGTAAAAAAATGTAATTTATTTGTGTTATAGTTATATAATATGAGCACAGCCTCTTAAGAGTATGTAGACCTGGTAAGACAAGACAGTTTCAATTAGAATGTGGCTAGCATTGATTGAAAGGATCTTATAAAATAGTTTTAACAGTTTTCTGAGACACACAATTTTGGAGAGAGCTAGTTCACTGGTCAAGGGCTGATACTTCAGGTTCTTAAAACAATTATTGAAACTGAAACCACTTGATTTACTTAAGTGTGAAATAAAAAGACAATGACGGATTGCTTAAAATATTATTTTTTATCTAAGGGGATGACATACATCAAAATGAGAGGCAGACAGTTTTAACCAGATTACTAGATGCTGTAAAACAAGTGAGTAGTTAACATCACTTTCATTTTTAAATATATCTGAAAATTAAACTCTTATTAAAAAATTCTGATAGTCTTTGTCTTTTACTTGAATTAAATAGGCTCTAAAGATTTTCTCCCTGTGTACATGTTATGCATTTTAAGTTAGCTTAAACTTGCATGTACTAAGAACACAATCCAATCACTCTTATAAAGTAATAAAGGTTTGCTGCCTAACATTATATCAAAAAATTATTTCCAACAGTGTCAAGTTAGGTTTGGTGGTAGATCAGAATTAGCTACAGATTCAGACAGCAGGTGAAGCCCTTTCATCTATTTTATGTTTCATATTTATTAAAATTTCTTTTTTTTTTTAAATTAATAAATTTCACTTCAGGTAATTTGTAATGGCAACATATACATTTGATTTTTTTAAAGAATTATTTGGAAAACAGTTGATGACAATAATGATCACATTATAATTACATTTAATTTTTCTCTATCCAGAATATTTTTTTAAAAGAATTGATAATGTAGTCTATGTGGTTTAAGAAAGCCACTAAATGAGAGACATACAGAAAAATCCTTTTAAAATGGCTTTAGCTCTTTGTTGTAGCTTTTTATATGTAGTGGAGTATATAGTAAACTTATTTCATCATTTAAATTAAAAAAAAATTATAATCTGTTTCTTCATTTAAATTAGTCAGTTATTTATAATGATTTTAAAATTCATTTGATGAAAGTCCTCTTACTTTGATTTAGGATATCCTGCTTATGTGCTGCATGGGAGGCGGCCCTACAGCATGGGATGAAGAAAAACAACAAGGCCCTTTCTGCATTCAAGTAACTGTTTAAATACATTTTTACTTTATCAAGTTGGTTGAACATATTTAAAATTTTATTTTAACTACAGAAACAAATCTATTAAAGTACATTAAACTTTTACAGATTAATTAATGTGCTTTTTGTCAATGGCAAAGTTCTGTCACATTTAAGTTGTGTGTTTTTGTGTGTGATCAAATGAGATTTTTTTTGTATCGTTCACAGGCAGATGACAGAGAGGGCAGGTCTAGGGAAAGTGACTGAGCTGTTCTCGGATATCAAAAGAATTGAAACCGAACCAGGTAAAAAGTTTTGTCTTATCAAATTGTTTTAAAACCATGATAATCTCCATGTCACATTTTATAATAATTATGTTTAACCGTGTACATTAATGATATTAAAAACATGAACTATTTAGGAATTTCACATTGCGGATTTTTTAAGCCAAAAATCTCATTAGTGAATCCATGTTTTGAATCCAGTGACAATGGTACTCACTTAAATGTTCACACTGATTAAGCGCAACCATTGCATCTGATGTAGAAATTTAGTTTATATTAATCAATTTTACATTTATGTGCTAGTGCAACAGTCTGCAACTTGCTCTGAATAAATTCAGCTTTTTTCATTTAAATATGATTTTACCAATGCAAGGGACAATTAAAATGTAAAATAAAATAGATCATCTTAATTTAATTCCATTTTTTAAACTAGACATTGTTCATCTAAATCCTTTTTTGTCTTCCCCACCACAGTAATCTTTAAACTGCAAAGTATGGCTACTATCAAATTTCATCTAATAATTGAAATTTGTAAACAAGTCAGCCGATATTAAATTTATAAAGTTTATCTTTTACCACGCCATTTCAATCCTGTTAATATGCTAATAACCAATCAACTGATGACAATGTATGCACATTGTTAAAAAAATATGATGGGATTTATGTACATTGCCAGCCTACACTATACTGCACATCTCAACAAACCCATGAAAATGTTGGCTCAGTGTTTTGTTGCAGAGTAGCATGTGGTCACAGAAAGTTGAGAATATGAAGTGTGAACGTACCTTAACTATGCATTGTATTTTGTTTTGTTTTGGATAGTGAGCAGATGCTGGTAGTTTCTTAATTTAATTGACATATTGGACAGTTTAGCTAACATTTAAATGGTTTTGTGTGGGTCAGCAAGTATTAAATTGATTAAAACAAAGTTCAAGGAAATAGATATGAAATAACAAACAAAATCTTTATAGAAATGTTCCACAGTTGTAAGCATGTTGGTTTTTTTGTTTTTTTTTGCTTTCAACATTTTAACTTTTATTCACATTTTAAAATGCATGTTATTTTCACTTACAGTATTTTGGCACTATGCTAAAGAGCACTTGACAAAACATGAATTTCAAAGATTTAACAAGCTGAAATTAGTGAACACAGACTCTGGGCGGGGGAGAGCATGGCTCAGGGCTTCACTCAATGAACACTCATTAGAACGTTACATGCATATGTTGATAGAGAGTGATGAAATGCTGGCGTAAGTATTGTGGTTACGGTCCCATAGCACTGAATAGCTAATTTGGGATTATAGTGATACATTACCTCTTGAATGCTGATGAGAATCCTTGAATCGTTGGCCTCCAGATTTTATATTAAAGATGAGTGCATTCGATTGATCAGAAAATGCTTAAATTAAATTGTTTTGAGAACTAAACTTTCTCCTATGCTTTAGGCTTTTTTAGTTTCTCAAAAGACAAGGGATTTGAAAGTTAATGACATGTTGAAAAGTTTACCTATCAATTCATTTTTACTCATGTTTTTGAATGATAATTGCAGTCAACATTATGAAGACTGGGCCTTTCTCCGTGACTTAGAGAGAAGCAGCATGTTACCTAACATGGCAGCAGGTAGGATATTATCTAGCATAGAAGAAATCATAGATTATCATAGGTGAACTTTTATAAAAATTACTTATATCTTTGAGAATCTTTAGCTACTAAATGCAATCCTTTATAAGTTTTAAAGAGCGTATTAAAAAGTGAAGAGAGTGACCCTCTGTCCAGATAAGAATGACCCTCTATCTAGACAAGAGTGCCCCTCTGTCTAGATTTGTATCTATTTAATTTGTTTGTCTTTGCACAGAATTTGATGCTTTAAAAAAATAAGTTATTTTGTCTGGCTTAAATGTAAACCAGTCTATATATTTACTTGTGACAATGAAAAAATTGATTTTATTAGATTTGTATGCACCAAATTTTTTAAAGGTACAAAATTTTCAGCCTTTGATAAATAAGATGCACATATCTGTATGTTTGGCCCTGTTTAATACTGTGGTTACTTAATTTGTTGGGGGGAAAAAAAACATTGGAAAGATGACATTCTTAAATAGGCTTACTTTTTGTGCGAATATTTCCTAATTTTGTGTAGCATATTTTGGTCAGTAAACCGTCCTGTAGAATAACAAAATTGTGAATACATAAATAGTGAGCTGCTCCATTTTAAAAGATATTTTATTATGTGTGTTTTAACTTCCAGGTCTGGGCTCAATCCTCTTTGCTATTACAGTAGACAGACCGGAACTGAACAAAGGTTACTCTGTGGCTAACACCATACATGTCAATCACACTCTAGAGCCAGTGGAGGCACTTGTGAAGGAGGATGAACCTAAACCTGTTATATCTGGTTCAGTTTCTCCAGCCTCAGGTACTTTTCAAAATATATATTTAAGTTGACACTGTCCTATTCCCCGGCTGGACTTCAGTGCTGTAGGCTGCTGACAACACCCCCCCCACCCCCCCTTAAAGAGCAACCATGTATTTGTAGGGAGATTAGGGTGAGGTAGTTATCTCTGTCTCCCAAAGACACTCTTATCTTCTGCTAGGAGAGGGTCAAATCAGGATACTTGACCTCTTCTACAAATTAGCAGTTGAGTGTGAGAGGGAAGCATTAAATGCGTGCTTTACTTTGAGCGGGGCTGCAAAATATACTTTGGCGGTGAAAAAATGATGTCAACAAATGTGTTCATGTAGATACGTGGCCTTATTGAGGATAATTACAAAGTAAGATACATGACCTAATTGAGGATAATTACAAAGATACCTGCACTTAACTGAGTGGATATGAGAATAGATATAAACTGTTTTTTTTACATTTAGCACAACCATTGCAGCAGAAACTTTTTTATCTCTAAGGTTACAAAATTTGTAGCTGTTGACCTTAGGGATTCACATGATATTTTATAAGAACCTACAAAGAAGTTGAAAGTGTTTCAATTTGTATAACTGACAAAGCTACAATTATAATTTGATACCACAGTTTAGTACAGCATTTGACCCAAATGCAGCGTTCAGTAGTTAGCTATGTGTGCAAAGCATGTGTTGTAGAACCTATGTTCTTATCTGTGACCAGACTGTGACAATGTGATCTACAATTAGGCAAAATGGTTATAAATATCTGCAGCAGAATACACCCCTGCCGAGACAATGTGACCTTGTGTTTCATTCTATTTTTGGAAATGTCATTCATTTCCTTAATAAAATATTCCCATCCCCAATTTTTCTCAAAGCCTCTGAACCTGATTTAGCACCAGCTTAGTCACTCACTTGAAAGGATTACCGATTATACATTTTACTGAATTTTAATAATTTTTAAGTCTTTTATTTTATTTTTAAAATAATAGTATCAATAATTTTAAAAATTCTTGATGTAAAAGAATTTTTTAAAAAATAAGTTCAATAATTGTTTTATGAAAATCAACAACCGATCAATAACCTAAAATCCAATAATCGGTTTAAATCCTTTCAGTTGAGATTTGGGCCTACACATTTCCTAATAATGTTTAGTTATGAATAGATGTCATCAACAGGCCTGCATTGTTGTGTAAGGTCATGTCAAGTCAATTTGACAACAGTCTGAAGTCACTGAAGTCATTGTAGATCATGTTAAAAATAGAATATTATACAAGTCAAGGACATTGAAGGTTTCTGATTAGGTCACACTAATCACATGTGATCTTTGAGATGTAATAATGCTGTAAGTATAAATAAGCCTTTTCAGCTGATAGTAGCTACCAAGTGTTTGACAAAATCAGTGTATCTCTATATTTTGTATAGGTATTGATATATTTCACTCTCAGTGTCAAAGTTCTTTATCTGAATCATGCAGTGACATTATTAGATAACAACCACTGTTATCTATCTATAGGCCTGTATTTTTGTGGCATATTGAAAAAAAAAAAAAACCAACAGAGAAATTATCTGTGAATCTTTATCTACTTTATTTAGTTCATTCTGAATATTTTTAGAAAATAAACTTTTTTATGCCCAGCCCTGTCTCTCAGTGTCTGTGAATGGACTTGTAAACTAGTCTCTGTCTCTACTTGTTATGTTTCCCCATTTTAGCCAAGAGGAAAGAGAAGAAGAAAAAGAAAAAAGTGCCTAACGTCGTTAGTTTTGATGAAGACGAGACAGTTGGTACTGTGATAACTAGGTCAGGCAGCAGCAGCAGCACTACCATTCCAGATTCTATTTCACCAGGTGGACAGGATAAGGACAATAGTAGGTTTATGTAGAACAATATTTTATAATTGATACAACAATGCATGTCCTCCTTAAATAGGAATCTTTTTATCACTAATGTATATAGTAACAAGTTATATTTATAACTTTCTTCTTAATTTAGCAAAATTATTTCAAATATTGGGAAACTTGTGGCTCTAGGTTTACTTGTTCATATACTATATGCTTCTGTCTCCTGTATACAGTTTTCTGTTACAGACGTATACAGTTTATGGCACTGCTGTTTGTTGAGGACATGTACATGTTATGACTGAAACTGAAAAACAATTCCTATTTGTTGAGAACATGTACATGTTATGACTGAAACTGAAAGACAATTCCTATTTGTTTTCACCCAGCAGATGGAATACAAGATGACAATGTCTTCACAGTAGAAACAAATAAATTTGGGAATGAATATAGTAAAGAACCATCACTCCCGGCTCTAGTCAGATTCTCCAGTGAGGTTAGCTCACCTTCAATTCATTCCGTCAACTCTGACAGGTTGTCTAAATCCAGCATTGGATCTTTTAGTGATTTGGATCACGACTCAAGGTTAAATTTTTAATAAGTGTTTTAAAAACTTTGAAAATAACAATCTGTTAACAGCAATTTAAAATATTTTTGTCTATTATAATTTTCTCCCTTGTAATGTTCATCAATTTTTTTTTTTGGGGTTTAAAGTAATAACTTAACAAATTTTTATGACTAATTATTTTAAAACTTAACAGTTGAACCACTCTAAATATTGAAAACTTTACAGTTGAGTGGTTCATTTGATTGTATTTCTTAAGGATATTGAAGAAAGTCAGCTTTGTTCATCTCATTAAATAATTTCTATAAGAATGTCTTCTTATTCGTGATAGATTAATCTAAAGTTAAAACTAAAGCTCTTGTCAATTCAGCTCATTTATGGCCCCTGTTGGTGCCGATGGATTAGTGATGTACACGGAGATGGTCCCCCTCAACCAGAATGCGAGCTCCCCGGCAAGATCACACGCCAGCTCTGACCTGGCCTCTGACTACCCCAGACAGAGAGATATGGAGAGTGCCTCACTGGCTATTGCACTGGCACAAAGCAGTCTTTCGAAAAGGTGGGTTGTAAGATGCAGTATTGTAATTGTTTCTTGTTTTTTTTTTAAATTATGTAATTCAGGACAAATATGATATGAAAATCAGCACAGATAATGCTGAAGCCATGTCGGTAGGACGTACCCCAGAAAAACTTGTCAACGTCAGGTGTTTAAATATCTTGGAAGCGTTTTTGCTGAGAACAGAAAAATGGACAGTGATGTAGAGACAAGAGTGCAGAGGGCAGCTACCAAAAAGTTCCGCTACCAAGGCACCCAAGAATAAAGATGGAGACCAAAGCCAGGCTAATCAATAACTTTTTTATTCCAACCCTTACCATAGTAGGCAGTGCCATAGGAAGAGAGGTATTGGAGGAAGAGAGGGGGGTTCCCGCCTCGGGTCTTATATGATGGAGTTTCGGCAAACTGTAGTTTTTTTTTCATGGGAGGTGCTGGAAAAATTCTCAAACCACTCTGGGTGGCCCTAACCCTAGCTACACGCATGAATGTCAGACCTGGACTCTGAATAAAAAGTCTAGAGAGATGACTCGGTCATCAGCGAGATGTTTAATGCAAGCAGCAGATGAAAGGAAAAGGGACCACATTTGGAACGAGGAGAAAAAAAACAAGTATTTGGTGTCGTGCCCATTCAGCCGGTTTGAGGCCCAATAGCAAATTAATTGGTTTGGCCACCTGGTCAGAATGCCTGATAACCAACCTGTTTGGCAAGCCCACAATAGCAGCAGGCCAGAGAAAGATGGCTGTGGATCGACTGTGTTAAGGACACTGTAAAAATCCACAACCTGAACCTTCAGCAGCCCTCAAAGCGTGTGTCAGATCACCAGCCGGCTATCTAGTAGAAGCAGACAGATGAAGGAGCCTAACACATTACTGGTTTGATGTTGACTTACCATTGTAATTGCCTTACCTAAATTTTCCTCAACAGTTACTAATATGTGGTTCATACTTAATTTAGTATGCTACTCATTATAACTGTCACCAAGGTTTGTTTTCTCATTTTATGAGTAGAATAAATTAATTATGACTCATATGTAAAAGAAAGTCACATGAATCTATTATAACCTATGTTAAATTCTATAAATGTATATCACCTAAACTAATGTATTGATTTAAGAATCACTTATAAGAGGGTATGTTTTGTAGCAAGTTAGTGTAAAATTGTTATTTAACTTTTTTATTTCTTTATTTAAAACACACAATATTTATCCGGATAAACTGCTAGTTGAAGCATTTAGTTAATAAAAAATATATTGTCTCAATTTTACTAGTCGCACATCGGGCGATGGTGGTAGCCTAGAAGATCCTACCAAGCTGTCCAAAGATTCAATGTCACATGGTGAGTTTGAACCTAAAATGACTGAGTATATACACACAAGATTTCTCTGCTATTCCTACTTCAATACTCTCAACATGGAGTCTGTGGTGGTTTAAATAAAAATACAGAGTTTACAGATTTTCACATTTTTTGTTTTGGAAGTGGGCCTCTTGATTTTTGTAAATTTATGAATCAGTCACTGCAGCAATTTTCATGAGACATCATGATACTTTACTGTTTCAATATTTATGATTTTATTTACAGATGAGCTAAAACAAGCAGTTGTTGCCATGATGTTGAGGAAAGATTCTGTGGAAGAACAGAACAGGTTAGTTTGTTAAAGCATTTAGAGATCAACACTTTAGAAACTAAATATTGTGGTACTTCCTTGGCAGAGCAAATTTTCTTCACTTTTCTTCTCTATTTGTTTGTAATTGAATGAACTGTAACTGTTTTTCATTTTCACTGTATTCATAATCTGAGATATGTCCCTCAGATAGCGTGTACCTTTTCTGACTGAATTTGAAATTATAATTCACTCAAAAGAAATACTTTTTCCTAATCAAACATATTTTAGAGTCTACTTATTTATAATTTGCTTCTTTGAATAATTTTGAGCTTGACCGCAGTGCCTTTTCATTTTTATTACCCAACTGGTGAACCTGCCTTCCTTTGTTTCCTAGAAAAATGGAGGGCATGTTGCAGCATGAGATGGAAACATCATCCACCCTAAGGGCTGAAATTGAGGAGCTTAAAATGCAGTATTCAATCAGGCATGAAAAGGAACAGTCAAAAATACAAGTCTTGCAAAAGTGAGTTTGAACTTTTGTTTTTACACAATTCAAATAATTTATTAATTAAAATTAAAGTAGGTACTTCATACAGTGTAGACATTTTTTTCTTGCTGCTAATTAATTTTTACATGTCACAACAATTTTACAGTTTTGCATTTTGATTTCTGCAGGGAAAATGAACTTCTAAAACATCAGCTCAAGAAATATGTTAGTGCTGTTCAAATGCTGCGTACAGAGGGCATCAACAAGGAAGGTTAGAAATAAATATGACTTTTAGTAAATGTTTGTCTTCCAGATGCATCATGATATCATAGTTTTAAAAAAAATTTCTTTCCCAAAGACTTTAAAAAAAATTAAAGTAGAAAATTGTTACACAACTTTTGTTTGTTTTTAATCAACATAGACTTAAATAAAAATCTATAAGAATAAATACCTTCTCTCTACCAGATACGCTTGGAATCCATCTGGATGAGCCCCAGCCCAGTATACCTCCACCCAAGCCCATGATAGATTACAGTTACGAGGCTGCAGAATATGAGAAAAAATTGATCCAAGTAAGAGAAACACCCTATTAGTAATTTGAAAATTACAAACAGGTTATGTTTCAATGGCATACATTTCAACTACTTTTAACAGTATTGTCTGAGCAATTAGATTATAAAAAGATACTAAAAATTATCATTTGAATTATCATTTATTCGAATTTTGTTTTACTCTTTAAACCTCCTCATACCCATACTGTTAATTTATACTTAAATTCTACTCTAAGCCAAAGCGTTATTTACTCTTCACAAATAGTTTCAACACAGTTACATAATATAAGCATCTTTTTATAATGTTCATAACATTCTGCGATAATAAAATGTATTTCAAGACAGCATCAATCAATTTCAAGTGACTCTTTCAATTGCTGAAAGTGATCTGTGACCGTCACAGATTTTACAACTCTTCTCAATACATTATTCAACTTAATTCCACTCAAATGTTCATAAGAAAATATCAAGGCATTAATATTGTTGGAATCCACCGACAGGTTGCTGAAATGCACGGGGAGCTGATGGAATTTAATGAAATGATCCACCGCCAACTGTCTGCTAAAGATGCTCTGCTGAGGCAACTTAGGGAAGAACTGATATTATTACGTGGACCTGTAAGGATGATTCTGTTAGGATAATGTACATTTATGTCATGTACTTTATACATCTGTTAATGTACAGAATTCTAAAAGTGTATGTAGGTTTATTTAGCTGAATTATAAATATTTACATAGGTTTATTGAACTTAATTCTAAATATGTACATAGGTTTATTGAACTTAAGTCTAAAAGTGTGCATATGTTTATTTAACTGAATTCTAAAATTGTACTTGTTAATAATCCACTTATAAAATAAAAAATTAAATTCTAAATTATTATATCTTCATAGTTGCCCTATGACAGACAAGTATCGCATGAGTCTGGTCAAGAAATTGAAAGGTGAAATACAACAAAAATGTTTCATGAAAAGTTTGTTTGGAGAATATATTATCTGAGTTTACATTTGCGGGCAGTGTTTAGAATTATTGTAGCAAAATTATATTTTTAATCATACAAGCTTCAATTATTTAATTGTTTAATTGGTTTTAGTTACTGAAATTTTCCCTATGATGATGATGATGATGATGAAAAAATCTCTGTATCTTAAAAATAATTCAGCAACATTCTAATTTTGTGAATAGATTTTCTTTCTAGTGTTAAAATGTGAAAATGCCATATGTTGCTAACAACCATTTTATTTTACCTCAACACTGTGCAGTCTGAATCTTCAGCGAACTCTAATCAACATCTGGATACCATCAGCATTCCTCAGAGGAACTTCCAACAACACTCATCATGTTTATCAAGTAGGCTTCAAAAAATTTAAATCAAATTTTGGGGGGGAAAGTGGGATTGGGGGGGGGGGGGGGGGGGGGCGAAGGGTGGGATGCCATGTTTCTCACAAATATTTATTTTTAGTTTAACTATCTAAAATACCTGTCTTAAGTTTGAGTTATATATTGGCAGGTATATATAAGAATTCGAGATGAAGAATGGAATGTATATCGACGTTACAGTCAGTTTCTTGACCTGCATCTGCGACTTAAAAAAGTCTATCCCATTGTAGGAAAATATGACTTCCCGCCCAAAAAGGCCATTGGGAAAAAGGTAATTGTGTTAATTATGCTTTTTTTCTTCGACTACCAAAAGTTAAACACTTGTTCAATCTTTTGATGCTTGTGATCCTCAAATACCAAAAGTTAAACATATTTCCTCCAAATATTTATGATTTTATAGATACACATGTTGGTATCCACTGATTTGAAATTTAAAAAAATAATTTTCAGGAAGCCAAACTAGTAGAACTGAGACGACAAGCATTTCAAGCATATCTCCGCAATGTTATCAACTTAATGATGGAGAAAAATGAACAACTGTCAAACACAGCCACCAAGGAGAAGCTTGTGTCGTACCTGCCGTTTTTTAAGTAAGTAAACACAAAACTTGGGCATTGGGGTGTTTTTGATGGGAATTGAAAATGATAAAAAATAATTTAAGAAACATTTTAAAACTTTTCTGTTTAAATAGATTTAATTAAACCAGAGTGAAGTGAGCATGCTAAAGTAGCATGGATGCCAGCGCTATATAAATATCCAATCAATCAATCAAGGTAATGCATCTGATTCATTGCATATAATTTAACCAATTAGATTTTGACAGAGGATCCTCAAGTATGTTATCTCTATTGCATTTTTATTTTAGATGTGATGTGCATCTTTAAACAAAAATTTGATTGTAGGGTTAAGTAAATCATAAGCATTGTTTTGTAGAGGTCTTGTTTGTCCAAGTTTAACAAACATCTCCTCTCCTACCACAGTGACAAATTAGAAGACGGAAACAAAAAAGGGAAAAAAGGAAAACAGAATTCTCCGACAACTATACCCATCACTGTCCCAGAAAATGGCGGTGCTAGAGCAGAGGGAAGGCAGCCAGAGCTGTATCAAGGGTTGTAGTGGTATCTCTGTCAAGGGTTGTAGTGGTATCGCTATCAAGGACTGTAGTGGTATCCCTGTCAAGGATTGTAGTGGTATCTCTATCAAGGATTGTTGTGGTGTTAGGATCTGTATTAAGGATTAATATGACATCAGGACCTCCTTACAGACCATAACATATTAGTTTATTTGAAAGCTTTGGCAGAAAGGCTTTTGTAAATTGTTTAATTGTTTTAAGCAAAGTGCCATAGGATAATCTGTTTCTTTTACTTGAATGCTACACTAAACATGCACAACTGTTTGATTATTTTAACAATGATCTTAAGTAAATGTCCCATTAGCTTAACTATGTCAGAGCTGTTCCACTAACTAGGCACAAATTTAAATATACTTTATGCTTGTCTCTATGTCAGAACTAAACTTCCTGTATGCTTTTGTCTATGTCAGAGCTGCTCTACAATCTGGACACAAATTTAAATCTCTTGTATGATTGTCTCTATGTTGGAGCTGCTCTACAATCTTGACACAAATATAAATCTCCTGTATGCTTGTCTCTATGTCAGAGCTGCTCTACAATCTTGGTACAAATCTAAATCTTCTGTATGCTTGTCTCTATGTCAGAGCTGCTCTACAATCTTGGCACAAATCTAAATCTTCTGTATGCTTGACTCTATGTTAGAGCTAAACTTACTGTATGCTTGTCTCAATGTCAGAGCTGCTTTACAATCTGGACACAAATCGAAATCACCTTAAGCTTGTCTCAATGTCAGAGCTGCTCTAAAATCTTAACACAAATCAAATTTTTCACTCTTCTTTTAAATCAAGTGCGATATAAAGCAAATTCAATTTTTTCTATCTCTGTTTTGTGTTTGAACAAAACAATAATATACAGGGTTTGGTTTTGAAGAGGACTGTTATGAAATATTTATTTTGTTGTTTTTATCAAGATAAGACCCATTCTAAACCTTGCTGTAGCTTATGTCTATAAAATCTGATCACGTCTTAAAGAGATTTCATAGTACCAGGTTTCAAGATTAGTTTTGACACTTTTGTCTGTTTTAGATTATAGAACTTGTCAACAAAATGCTTGGTAACTCGCAACTTTTGGCCTGTAAGTGTTGTTTATTGGCTGCTGAATCATTTACTAAAGCAACTATTAAGAAGCAGTCATTGCTGTATAAGAATCAAACTGTATAAAGACATGGTGTACTAGACATTTAACTGATAAGACCAGACTAATGGGTATTGCAATAATAAATGATTATGTGTTGCATGAGCTGCTGAGTTACAGTGATATAATATGAAATTTATTTAGAAAGATTGCTCACCAACAGTTTACCCTGGTATAAATAATTTGTAATTTTAAATTATTTGTAATGATTCATTACACTCAGGAAAAAATTGAAGCCCTTCAGTAATATATTATGAAGTTGTAAAGATATCATTCTTGGAAAGTGGGCATGACCTCTTAAGATTAAGAAGCTTTTTGGAGAATTCCAAGGCATTAACTCATCAAATGGTCAATCAAAATAATGTTCCTTTCAGGTGGTTTTCAATATATTTACCAAATCTATTAGTGGGCTTGGTGTTTCAAATCGAAGTAAATTTCAATTGTGGAGTACATGTTAAAAGCAACCATTTATTTTTTAGCCTGTAATATTTTGTTATGAGAAACTTATTTCAAGGGATGGCTAAAACAGTTCTGTTGAAAAGTACTCATATTTAAAGACATTAAATAGTCGCAACATATTTTAAGCGGGTGTATCCAATATTGAAAATAAATAATTGCCAAGCCAGGATTGACATAATGAATATCAAAAACTCAAGAAAAACATTTACAATGCATACTGTTGATTTTAAATAGCTCTTAAATCAAATGAATAACAGAACATTTTCAACATTTTCTTAGGTTCTTCTTTTTTTTTTCTTTTTTTTAAAACAGATTTCTTGTTAACAGTTTCAGCATTACATAATTTATGCTGAATAAGATAGGGTATTAATCTAATGCTATGATTAGTTTAAAAAAAAAAATCTATTAAACTTATTTGTGTACAAGTTCTTAGATAATAGCATGCTTACACTGCTAGTAGTGTTCATTTCCCCTTTAAACATAACACTTTTTATGTCAATATTATTTGTCCGTATATATATCATCATAATGAATGAGAGTGGATGATATCAAGTGCTTATGAATTTTTTTACCAATTTGAGCTGATGCTGTAATTTGTCTCTAAATATCAAAATGAGGAAGAGTTGATGCTGTAATTTGTCTCTATACTATATTATTTATATATCATAAACAGTTGATGCTGTAATTTGTCTCTAAATGTCATGAGTAAGAAGCTGTATTTGTTTCCAAATATCACGTGTTAGAGATGAGGCTGTAATTTGTTTCTATAGTAAATATTACATTGAATAAGAGTTGAGAGCTGTAATTTGTCTATATATATATCACATTGAATAAGAGTTAAGGCTGTAATTTGTCTATTTGTATCACACTGAGTAAGAGTTAAGGCTGTAATTTGTCTATTTGTATCACACTGAGTAAGAGTTCAGGCTGTAATTTGTCTATTTGTATCACACTGAGTAAGAGTAAGGGCTGTAATTTGTCTATTTGTATCGCACTGAGTAAGAGTAAGGGCTGTAATTTGTCTATTTGTATCACACTGATTAGGAGTTAAGGCTGTAATTTGTCTATTTGTATCACACTGAGTAAGAGTTGAGGCTGTAATTTGTCTATTTATATCACACAGAGGAAGAGTTGAGGCTGTAATTTGTCTATTTATATCACACAGAGGAAGAGTTGAGGCTTTTATTTGTCTATTTATATCACACAGAGGAAGATTAAGGCTGTAATTGGTCTATTTATATCACACAAAGGAAGAATTGAGGCTTTAATTTGTCTATTTATAACACACTGAGGAATTTTTTATTTATTATATATCACACTGAGTAAGAGTTAAAGCTGTAAGTTGTCTATTTATATTACACTGAGTAAAATTTGAGGCTGTAATTTGTCTATTGTCAATGAAGGAAGTTGTTTAAAAAAGTATCAACCATTTATGTACAATGAAACTTGTGATAATACTTATATGTCTAAGTTTGGTCATGGTATAGTTTTGTGACAATCAATACGGTACTACAAAGCATTTTTCCTGGCACTATTAAATGAGTTTTTTCATGCTGTCAGAGTCCTTTTATTCAATTTTATTTTTATAAGACAGTGAGAAAATAACTAACTTCTCGATATATTGTCTATGAAAGGAATGCCAGCTAGTTAAAATAGTATCTGCTTGTGTTCCAATTTGAGGCATTAAACAAATATTTGTATACCGGTACTTTAACTCCTACGTAATTTAATTATGTTAAAACACAGGACATACTTGATATGTAACTGTTAATTATTTTTGAAACTTGACATACACTCTTTTATTTATTTGTATTGTGAAATAAAAGCTTTCCGTGTATGTATGTATGTGCAGTCGTGTTCGCAAATCATTTGTTAAAATACCTGACCTTGACTGAAATAATGTAACAACCAACATGGTAGCTTGCTAAATGATGTACGTATTTGTTCATATATGTTTGACATATATGATCAATAGTGCCTAGACTGTTTATAATGATTGACATGTAGTAAATATTTTTAATTAAAAACAACTAAATTTTTCTTGTTATTGTTGAAATGTTCTGATCTAAAATATTTTTTTTTATACTCAAGTCATTTATAAATACTCATAATTTTGATCAAATACTTTATGCTGAAAGTGTATGCGTTGGCTGAATGTTTGTTTGAATAGAGTTGTGCAATATTGACAATGATATGCCATAAAGAATTGAACAAAAATTAAATAATAAAATACCATATGAACTGTTTTGGATAGATTGTGCTATTTATTATTTCTTTCCAGAATATAATTTTGTTCAATGCTAATCACTAGCTGAAATCACATCAGTCAACTTTAAATAATGATTAGTTGATGTTCTATTCAAACGCTAATCGCTGGCTGAAATCACATCAGTCAACTTTAACCTTAAATAATGATTATTTGATGTTCTATTCAAATCAAACGCTAATCGCTGGCTGAAATCACATCAGTCAACTTTAAATAATGATTAGTTGATATTCTATTCAAACACTAATCACAATAAGCGATTGCATTTTTTAAATGTTTAGTTCACATTGCATTCAAACACTAATCACTATATGAGATAAAATATTTTAATAAATGTTTAGTTCACATTGTATTCAAATGCTAATCGCTGGCTGAAAATAGCATCAGTCAATTTTAAGGAATGTTTTTTTAAAAAAAATTGTATTCAAGCTAACAAGACCGAAAAAATAAATTTTTAATACATTAGCACATTTTCTATTTCTACAAGCCTTCATCATTGCAAAGACACAGGCAAAACTCAAGCTTCCCACTGCTAAAGACTAATTATATATTTTTTTAAAAATAATGATTAGTTGATGTTCTATTCAAATGTTGTTACTTTGATCGTCAGTGTCTTTTAGCCAAAATACTCAAAACATTTTTACAACTTCTGTAAGTTTAGTTGGTAACTAAATATCAAATTTCTTTCATGTAGTTTTAAAAATAACTAAAGGCATTTTAAGAATAATCGTTTTAGACTCAACATGTTGAAAAAAATCAAATAACAAAAATTGGCATTAATGTTACTTTTTTTTATTTGTCATACTTCATGGAAAATATATATTAAGTAAAGATAAATAAATCAATAAAAAATCACCAGACAAGGCTTAATATTTTTCACTAAATATTTGCAGACAAGGGGATCTCGCCGTTTCATTAGCACATTGATTATGAAAAGAACTCTAGAGCAACCACCTATAGCCACACCTATTTTTTCAGCAGTTTTCAAACTTTAAGTTGATGTGCCCCATATTTTGGACACTTGACTTAGTGCCTCGCTAAATAAAAAAAAAGAAGCAAAATTCTTGGCGTTTCCTTTAAATAATATTTTCAAAATATAGACAGATTTTTTTTCTTCTTCTTTGGAACAACCACCTACCCCCCCCCCCCCCCACACACACCAGTTTAGGAACTGGTTGTTTCATTTATTTAAACTTCTAATATATCCAGACTTTAAAAAAATTACATTGACCATTAAAAAGCAGCTGTGCATTTTTTTTTTTATCCAAGGATTAAAAAAAACCAATCCTAATTGCATACAACAGTAAACAAACTGCTATCAGAAATAGAAAATAAGTATAGAGCACAGTATGAAAATGGAAAATGTTCAATATGTATTCACTAAAGTCTTGTCTGTCTATTGCCCCTAAGCCATTTGATTGATCTTAACCAAATTTGTGCAGTGTTACTTTTAACTCTTCAGGTACTGAAATAATTTCAGTTTACAATGTCATTTCCATCCTGAATATTGACATTTTTCTAAAACTTCTTTTATGTGAATAGTATATATTAGTTAAACTAAGGCACAACAAAGCTGTACATACTTGGTGAAATTGTCAAATAAAAAAAAGATATTGAAAATGGAAATAGGCATTTTAAAAAAAATAATTTTTTAATTATTTAAAAAAAAATGTTGCAATGTGCAAAAAATGCACTCCATAGCTCTATATTTGTAGTATGACATTGTACAGGAAACTTAATAGCAAAGATAAACATTGATATTAATCTTTTCCCTGAAATTAAAATAAGATTACAAACACAAAAATAAAAAATAAAATTATGTTCTGACTTTCAAGTAAAAATAAATATGTAAAAAAAAAAAATAAACACCCCCCCCCCCCCCCCATTTGTAAGATTATAGTCATCAAAATCTCTTTTTTCTGGAATGGGTAAATGAACTTCACATAAGTCTACATTGTACAAGCAAAATGTGATGAAGTTATAAAAGATTTAAGGATAGTTACTTATTTCATACGAGGGTATTGGTAACTGTTCATTTATTGTTGCCTCTTACTGATCGTCTCGTTATGTTGGTTTCTGCTTTTACCTCATTCTTAATACAGTTATTGTGACTATTGTTATCATTATTTAAACCCCTCTGACTGATAAATGATCTTGCTGGCTGCCGTCCATAGTTTGCCTTGTAAAATTTTTGGGGTGGGGTGGATGAATATACATTTTTTTTGCCGTTCTTTATTTCATAAATGTATTTTATTTTAATGTCATGATTATGTCTCTTTTGATAATATTTTTATGTACAGGGTGGTGAGCCCAGCCCTAGGCTGGGGTACCGCGCTATAAAAGACCACTTATTATTATTATTGCATTTGTAGTTTATTTTAAATGTGTCCATTATAGACCCAGCAATTATAGAATATGGAGTGCAATTTGTCATAGCATAGATAATATTGTAAATTATGTAAAGAATAAGTGTACCGGTACAGAAAAAAAAAATTAAAAATTTTAATCTGTGACACAATTAAAGTAAAATGGACTGCAAGAAAGCAGATGGCTTTTATCCTAAACAGCTGAGTGTTAGAAGATAACATTAACAATATCACATCTTAATAATTACCCGTCAAGCGCTGGGTAATACAGCTAGTATTTAACAAAATGTTGAATGAAACAAAATGACCTTTAATGTACATAGTGATAAGCCAGTTGGAAGATGTAATAATGGATTATTGGATGTTAAAAGTATGGGACCTCCTTGAATAACAGAACAAATTTTTGCATGGTGCAAGAGGCTTTTTATAACTGATTCAAAAATAGGTGGATCTGGAGGTGTCGGTGGCTTTCTGTGCAGCTTTATATAAAAAACACATGATTGACCTTATGTCAATAATACTATATTGATGTTGTCTCAACTATTTGGTTTCATAGTTAACAATACCTCATTTAATAAATTAATCCACATTAGCTATTGTTGGTTGGCCAAAGTATTGCCAAGTGTACTCAGGTGTGGTTGGATGACACATGGGACTTTCCCAGAAGGGGGGGGGGGGAAGAACCTGTGGCAATGTATTATATTCCAGTTTATTCAATATACATGGGGTTATTATGAGCTCTTCAAGCAGTTTTACCAGTACACTCTTGAACTAAACTTTTTAAAAAATATATAAAAAAACAAAGATTTGCTTAAAAAGGTAATGGCTTCTCTTTACTTCTATTGGTTTATTGGTTTCATTGTTAACAATACCTCATTTAATAAATTAATCCACATTAGGTATTGTTGGTTGGCCAAAGTATTGCCAAGGGTACTCAGGTGGGGTTGGATGACACATGGGACTTTCCCAGAAGGGGGGGGGGGAAGAACCTGTGGCAATGTATTATATTCCAGTTTATTCAATATACATGAGGTTATTATGAGCTCTTCAAGCAGTTATACCAGTACACTCTTGAACTAAACTTTTTAAAAAATATATAAAAAAACAAAGATTTGCTTAAAAAGGTAATGGCTTCTCTTTACTTCTATTGGCTTTGAATCTTTAGTTTAAAATGAGGCAAAGTAGTGTCTTGAAAAATGCTCACAAAGTGATATCTTCATTATTGTAAAGCACAGGTTATCCAGTCAGGAGGTAACTATGACTCAGCAATGTCACAGCAGCACTATTTTAGCAGACATTTGTTTCCTAGTTCTTTGATTCTATAACAGTGTAACAACCTTCCTATTGCCTAATGGGTCTGTCATTTCAGACCAGTTTTGCAGACATCTCAGTGTCTCATATCTGAATGATAGTTAATATTCCCTATACTATGACTTTGACAGTGAGGATTTAAATTGATTGATTAATAAATTAATATAAATTTAAACAGTCAAATTATTTTTGTTCCCAGACCATCAATTCAACCAGATAAAACATTAACAGAAAACTAAACACATTTGACACTCTGTAAAGGATATTCCATAAAAAAAGTGTTGCGTTCTTTACAGTCTGTCTAAACATCATGGAGACATTGCAACAAAGTGGGTTTACTTCTACATAAGTGTAAATGAACACGATTGAAACCATTATTAGATAACATGGCTGAATGAGATAAAACAGTAAAATAAAATTTTTAAGATTGAACTTAAAATCGCACAAATTTAAATACAAGCAAGTTTTGCATTGTGTTTCAGGTCATACACACAAAGAAAATGCTAAGAGAATAAACAAATAATTGCTGCCTTTAGCAAAGGAAAGAACTAAGAATGTTTATAAAAAAAAATTGTTTAAAAATAGGCTGGATAACATGAACGCACAAAAATAAGACATCAATTGTAGAGCATCTTTGTAATATTTTGTACCGGTATAAAGTGGACACATTGTGGAAAACAAGTTATTGCACAACAAAAAAAAACTGACTGGTGACGGGCCACAATTTTGTTATATGGTTCCCAAAACATAGCCAGTTTGGCTTGTGTTGAAGCATAATACTGGCCTTCATGGGAAACATCATTCACTCATTCAAATAAATCAAAGCCAATGAAACAGCCACATGAGCACTTTACCAATAAATTGTCTTAAGCTATTCAAAAAGTTTCAATGGCAAGCAATAGAAGACAAAGTAAACCTTGCCCTATAAAATCTCCATAAAGATTTCAATGGCAGTGCAAAGTAAAGCTTCTGCTAATTATCAAATTAAAACATTAGATAATAGTAGTTAAATAAGAAGTTTCAATAAAATTCAAAGCATCAACAAATATTACAAAAATAAGATCTCATTTTGCATATTCTAGAAAAATATCTTACTTTGGATTTATTTTAAAGATACTATATAATACTTTTTACAGTCAGGAATTCTTACTTTTTTACATTTAGGACTTCTGAACCAGTCCTTGGGCCCCATGTATAATACATTTAGATTCAAAGAGATATTCTGGTATTTAATATCTTTAAGCAAGGTGGCAAATTGTTTTATGTGTTCAAATTGTTTTATTTATGTGAAAATGTACAATGCAATCAAAAAACATTTCCATTTGTTTGGATCAATAAAAGAATCTTATCTTATGTCTATATATGTGGAAACAAAATCTTCCAAAGAAATATTGTGAATCACAACGTACTATTCCTAATTTAAACCATAAATGCTTAGAGTATAGAACAGCCGTAGACAATAATCATTATATAAGTGTACATAAATTTATTAGAAAAATTTAAGTTATGTCACATCAACTAAAACAACTGACTTCAATAAAAAGATTATATATCCTAGTCCTGTAGCTTGTCAGCTTGCCTTAAGTTTTTTGGTGCTTTCCTGAATGTCCATATCATCACATATCACATTGCCATTTTCTACTTTACTCCCTCTTATGGAAGAATCATTTTCAGATTTCATCACTGATGAAGTGCCATTGTGGCATTTGGCAGTGTGACAATTTGAAAACATCTCTTCTTTTCTATTTCTACTTTGGTCTCGAACAAAACACTCACTATCTCTCCGCCATGATGAATTTTCATAGACATTTTGTTCTACCACCAATAAAAGCTCTTTTTCCCCATCTTTTAGCTCTGACCTTAAATACTCCAGCAAACTAAACTTATCACCAATAGCAAGAGGTGCCTCTAGCTTTGAATCAAGATTCATATACTGGCCATCGAGCCATCTAATAGCAATCCAGTGTTTGCGATGAATGGGCAACTTGACAAAGCCTAGCTTGTAATCAGTTGGTGTGTTTAAAATGAAGCCCATAATGTTGTCAGTAACTAAGACCTCAACCTCCCTGTAAAAAAAAAAAATTCAAACTCATAGGTGGACAAATTAGTAAATTACAAAATTACAAATTACTGTATCAGTTTAACCCAGTTATGCCAAATATAAATCTGAAATTTTCAGAATACTAAATATCTCTCATGATATTTTTATTTATTATCACCATACTTTCAAGGGGCTTATAACTGTAAACTAACAAGTGCCATTTATGTTGGTCAATTTAGGTTTCAAAACTTGTTAACTTAGTACATTTAAAAACGAAAATATGCAGCCTACATACATTCAAAATGTAAAATTCCTTAGGCTTAATAAACCATAAGTATAGCTATAAGGAAGAAGACAACTATAAAAATTCAGGTAACTTACTTTCTTTTATCAAACCAAATAGTTTCATAACCTTTCTCTTGCAAAGCAGCCATTAAAACATTCACATCATAATTCCCAAGACCAAGCATGCTGCGATGTGGGTTGATAAAAGAGCCAGGAGAAAGCCTAAGTAAAAAAAAAAATATTGGTGCTTATGATTTTATTTAAGCTATTTATTAAAAACTTAAAATCAATTTTTGAAATAATAATATCTTTGTAAGTTAGGACAATGCAATTTGTAAGAATAAGGAGCAAAAATCATTTCATTTCTCCGTCTTTCACCTGATTAGCTTTCATAAAAAAAATATTTGTCTAGATGACTATTCAGGCCGCCGCAGCTGTCCACCTTAAAAAATAGCATAAGCACTACACTTATTAAGAGCAGCCTTTACTCATCTAAATGGCAGAAGACTTATAAAAGTTGTAGCTTAAAGAACAATAGTTTCATTGAATACTCTGTCCTCCTAATAGAGTGGGAGCAGATATATAGGGGCCTTGACCCTTGAGTTTTTCTTTGTTCCAAAGAATAGTATTGTTATCAGGTACTGAGTTAAAACTCAATTTAATGACAGCTTTAGCCTGGAACCTTACAGCATCAAAAGTAAATAAAGGAGGATATATCAAAATACAGATCATTTAATAAATTTACTTTGAGCTTATAAATATGTAGTATGATAGCAACATTTTTATACCGCATCCATTTATTACTTATTCCTTCATTCTTTACAGTATAATGGGAAATTGATGAATTACTAACCTATTGCAAATATCATCCAAATCCCTTTTAGTGAATGCTTGCTTTGTTTGTAAAAGATTGTTAAGAGCATGCAAGGCACATAACTCCTTTACTTGTCGCTCATGGTAGAGTTTTTTCTCTTCTTGATCATCCTTTTCACACATTTTCTGTTTCTAATTGCAGACAAAAGAAAACTACAAATTATCCGATACATAAACAAAATAAAACTGAAGATCTATTGAACAATTTTTTTTATATTCAAAATTGAAAGTGTCTTACAATTAATTTACATCAGACCATTAAAAGTATTTAAAATTGTAACTTTAAATTTATTTACTATGTGATTATAAATAATGGAATGCCACTGTATTTTATTATTTTTTAAAACAACCATATGTATAAGGATAGGCAATATAGAACAGTGATCAGCAATCTGCTTTTGAAACAATAAAGGCTGATCTTTTTCTTCCCACTAATCTACAGGCCTAATCATTAAGCTCCAAAAAATATTTTATTTGCAGATAAAATTTATAAAAATGGTTCCTTATTTGACTTCTTCACTTAACAAAAGGTTGCCGCCCCTGGTATAGGCCTAATCAAAGGCAAAAATTATTTGAACAGCTGAGCGGTGCTGGGAATGGGCCTAGGTTAAATTTTGGGTAAGCAGTATGGGTTTTGCCAAGAATTTTATCGTCTCACCCTAGGTGCAGTGACGTCACTATAGGCCTAGACCAGAGGCGTGGCTAGAGTGTTTGGCACCCGAGGACAAGATTCATTTTAAAGCTCCTCCCTTTCATTTTTCAACTCTAAAAACCCATTATTTTCATAATAAAACAATATCAAAGCACATTTTGGCACCCCTAACTAGTCTGGAGCCCAGGGACATCTGCACCCACCCCCAGCAATTGAGAAATTTCTATTAGCCTATAGCTGATAGAAATAGGCAGTAGGCCTATAATAGGGCCTACGCATTTCAGTTTTAAAATTAAGATGATTATTAAAGAAGCAATATAGTCTATTATAGTCTTAGTATAAGAAAGGGGCACTTTTTCTAAGCAAATAAGGCCTAAAGGTGTTTGGGGGATATTAGGTTAGCTGTAAGGCCGGCGATGTGTATCATGATATATAGTCCATGGAGGTTCACACAGCTCAACTTCCATCTATAGCTGCGTATTCTCCCCTCCCCACAAAACTATGGTAAAATGTCCCATGAAATGATAGAAATGATTAGGTACTTAAGAATAAAAAAATTATCAAAGTAGTACAATATAACAGAGCAAACTTTAAATTAATAAATGAAACCAAAATCAACTTCTTTGGTAGTTTTGGTTTTACAGTGGACCGTATTTCCACATTCTGTGACCCAGTTCAGCTATTTGAATCAAGCACTATTATCTATAACTCTCGTTTTTATTATAATTTTATATGACTTTTATTTTCAGGAGTACCGGTAATGCAAATTTTAAAAAGTAATTTTAACAATGTTATGCAATGATAAATAAATTGTAACTTATTTAACTACGTAGTAGTCTCCCTGATGTTTCCCAAGTTTTAGCGTATGGTTACTTCGGTTTTCAACTAATTAAAAGACTGCACTTTTAGCGCAGGTCTTTTTTTTTCCCACTGTTTTTCATCTATGGCATCAGAAACTGAGAAAGGATGTGTTTCTATTTCATTTATTTTTTAACTTGTAAGTTGAATTCAAATAAAAAAATGAATGTGAAATTTCATTTTAATTTACTTCATATTAACTTATTGATTGTCAGCTTTAGTTTATGACACAAGTAATGCTCAGTAAAGAATGGGAAAGTTATCACACACATTGTTAAGGTCCACAATAGTTAAGTTTTGGGATTCCCCTATGTAACGTCACTGCACTTTGGGCAAAGTTCGTACCGCTAACTCAAAATTTTAACAAGACCAATGTGTTTTAATTTTAATAGTTTATCTATTTCTATGGCATCTCACCTGGTTTTGATAATTTTTATTTCAATTTCAAGTTCTGATTCTCAGCCAATTTGATTTGGTTGTGAGTCTTGGAAAGGGCATCATAGTCATAGTACTCATATTATATAAGGTGTCCCATTTCATGAAGAAGGATATTGACAACAAACATTTCTGATTAATTTGCACATCCTTGCTCAACAGTAAGTTTGTAATTTAATATAAAATAAAGATTAGGCCCTAACCTTCTTGATTCTTATAAATAAAAGTAACACCATCCGTTGCCTCAGAGTTCACTGGGACTCTTTAGTTTTACTAAAGACTAAAAAAACTTAAGTTAAGTAAGTGACCAGTCAGTTAGTTTTATTGAAGTGTAGTTTATATTTTATATTATTATTATAAAAATAATAAAATATAGTCTAGTCTTAGTCTAGTAAATACTAGTATAAATTTTATACACTATAACTATAAACTATAAACTTAAGATATTTAGGTAACAGTTGTGACTTAATATTGCATCATGAGTTTTGTCAGATAGTTTTCCTTTAATCAGTTAGCAATATAAATTTTAATTTTTTACATAAAGTTACGACTATTGGATTAATACATCCTCTAACGTTTAGCCAGAAAATAAATAGATGAAAATATCAATAGTATCATGAAAGTTGAAGAACAGGAAGTAAGCCTGTTGTACAGAAGTCGTCAGAAGAGAATAATTGATTGTTGCTTATTTATTAAACTAAAATTATTTGTGATTTATTCCATTATAATTTGGGCTAATTTGTATATTTTTATGGAAGAGGCATTAAACACTTTGTTATATGATTAAGTTATATATTTTTAAAAATTAACTTAATTAACATTTGTTCCGGACTTGTATATATACTTTTGACACGGTGTCGCAAAAATTTGATGCCAGAATGCGCAGCAACTACGTCAATATTGAAGAAGTGGTTAATTATAGTATCCCGTAAGCGAAATGATAGCGTTTCTCTAACATTGCATCAGGTCAGCATAATATATAAGGACAAAATAAGAATAATTTAGGAGTCGTGGATTTAAAAAATGTTCAAATTTACTGGAAAAATATGCTTCACATTATTGACATTATCGTTCAGCACGACAACAAAGTTCCTATCTCACATCTGGTTGGCACTGTTACTGTTTTGATTTTAACTTTTGGAAAAATATGTAATTGTACCACCAAACCTAGCTAGACCTATAATTTATTAATACATATCACTTATCAATGTATCAATACTATCTTTCATATGATAAATATAAATGAATCCAAAAAAAAATATGCTTTGCCAAAGCCTGTCTCAGTTTTTTTAAGCCCTACTAAGCCTACTAGTACTAGTCTAGCCTAGTCTAGGGCCACACAAATTTTAGGCCAAGTTAAGCTAGTTAGGCTATTCATATTTTAATTATTTTTTTAATCATGAAATTGATTAGGCCTACATAAAGTTGCATCATCATATGCCTAAGTTTCAACAGCCTAAAACTGAATTAATATAAGTATAGTATAGTATACTTATAAAACTAAAACACTTTACTTTGCTGCTGCAGCTCAGAGAAACCCCCAAATTTTGTCTCATAATCCTCTCTTTATCTCTCTCTCTCATAAACAGTGTCACAGTCACAATATGTGAGTGACTGCATTGGCATTTTGCCAATTAAAAAATTTTTAAATGCAGGCTAAATATAATAATATACACAATATTTGTAATTAGTTTCAGTTTAATGACTTAGACTTAGGCCTAGCCTAGTAGCCTCTAGAAATTCTAAATTTATCCATGACATCTTATAATCTGATTAATTGTACTTTGGTGGTTATATCATGAAATCATCTTTACCATAATCTGAACACTATTTAATGAAATGAAAGCCAAAGTGTGTTTCACTTCTTTTTTATTGTTGGGTTAATTGTCTGTTTTAGGGTATCAGCTACTTTACTTTTATTTTTAAATTATTTTAAGGAATTAATTTCTGGAAAATTTGAGTTTGAGGTTTGTTATACTAGTATTTTTTAAATTATTTTAAATAAAGCAACATATTATGACAGGTGTTAGAGTTGTTTTATATTCTAAATGTGGGGTTTCCTGATCAAATATAATTGAAGCGAAATAAATAAGACTAATAATTAATAAGTGCTTCTCAAACAATTAGTAAATAAATCATATAAATTTTCTTGAAAACTGAAACAAATTTTGTGAAAAAAGATATTATCATTATATGTATAATAAATAGTTATAAAAATTATGCAAATATCTGAATATTTATACATTTTTACAAGGCTAATGTACAATATTTTTAATCCCTTAAATAAAAGTGGTATTTTGGTTATAAATACAACTTTACAGATGCACTAACTAACACTTTGAGCACTAAAAAAATATATAACAGACCTGTTTACTATTACGATTTTGGCGTACAATGTACGATTTTGACACGTCTTTTACGATTGTACGCCGCGACCCGCCAAAACTACGATTTTCAGAGGCCAGGTGAACAAAAAAAAAATTTCCGATAAAAAATTATTATTTTTTTGTGTGGTTTGTTGAAGTTTTAGCCCTTTCTAATAAAAATCTACTGGTGAATGGAACCAGAAAAACGATTGGTTGTAATTTTTTTTTTTTAAAGTTGGGACCATCCTTCATATTATGTAGGCACTGAGAGGGGAGGTGTGGGTTGTTGATTTAAGGACATTTGCGGCACACGGAACGCATGGGTAGGGGTTGGTCAGAGTGTAAAAGGCTATAAAAATATCTTTGCAACGTATCGTATTGATGGTGATGATTGTGTGTCATGTGATGATTGTCATACTGATGCTTTGTGTGTCACGTGATGATTGTCATACTGATGCTTTGTGTGTCACGTGATGATTGTCATACTGATGCTTTGCGTGTCACGTGATGATTGTCATACTGATGCTTTGTGTGTCACGTGATGATTGTTATACTGATGCTTTGCGTGTCACGTGATGATTGTCATACTGATGCTTTGTGTGTCACGTGATCATTATGGCAACGAACACCCAGGGCGATGTGGCGTTTATTCTTGGAACCACTGGGCTGGCCGAATCACCGTGGTGAAAACCCGTGTCACATTTTGTTTACTGTAACATCATAATATACAATGGATTTTGTTAAGTTTAGGGGGGGGGGGCTGCTGGTGTTTTAAAGCTCACTGTACCGTACACACAAAAAGGGCGGGGTGGGTTGGGGTGGGGGGTCCCAATTTGTTACCGGGTAATTCATTCTTATTTTATTACATTTTTTTTTATACTTATCTGAAGTCAAGTTTGAACTTTCACCTGTGATTTTTTTTTTTTATGAAAACCCGTGTCACATTTTGTTTACTGTAACATCATAATATACAATGGATTTTGTTAAGTTTAGGGGGGGGGGGGCTGCTGGTGTTTTAAAGCTCACTGTACCGTACACACAAAAAGGGCGGGGTGGGTTGGGGTGGGGGGTCCCAATTTGTTACCGGGTAATTCATTCTTATTTTATTACATTTTATTTTATACTTATCTGAAGTCAAGTTTGAACTTTCACCGGTGATTTTATTTTTTTACCTGCGACGGACTGGGATAATGTGATCAGCACGTTCACCCAAATATTAATGGATTTTTATCTACCGATACACATCTGCAAAACAAAGTGACGGCAGTTTACGGCTAACGTCAGTCATCTACTGTTTACCTACAGTTCCATATTTTGACGCCAGCTTAACTCGATTCCACTGAACACGCTATGGGAGTGGTTATTGTATACATTATATATACTCTATTTTTATTTATTTACTATCAAAAGACTGCATTGTCCGATTTTGAGACGATATTGTACGATTTTAGGAGTTTGGGGGTAAACAGGTCTGATATAATTATATTAAAGTTAAAGGTATAGTTTTATATAGATAATATATAGATTTATATATCTCATTCCTCTCTCTATATATTTATTAACTTGGTTTATAAAAATGTCAATTAATTTTCTTTTTTCAAACAAGTAAAACTGAAATTAAAGAATAGATTTGTTTAAATGTGCCCAATTTGAGTCATGGGAAAAATTTGAATTTGCATCGTTACTTTATACATGTGTAGAAACTTATGAAGGTATTGATGTTATTATTATATAATATAACTGACTACTGGTGATTCAATGACAAGATTTTTTTTTTCAGGATAGCACAAAATACTTAACCTAGAGGCATATTATAGAAACATAAAGATGTGAAACAAGTCTTATTTCTTCGAAACCTAAAGACTACAACGATTCCTCTCCTTGCGTCTGACATAACAGGAATAAGAATAGTCTTTTGAGAAATAAACCTACTTGCACACAGTAGCTTATTTCCACACTAGGAATTAAAATGGCAGCACTCATGGACATTGAGAGCCTCCAAAGCCCTGAAGTAGAGAATGGCAGAGGAGGCTTATTTGATCCTGATTTTGGTGACTCTGAAATGTCTGCCCTAACATCAAAGGTATTGAGTTTAGATAAAATTATAATTAGCCGAAATCAATGTTTGATAGAAAAGCTCTAAATGATTATATGAGCATATATTTTTGTGTGTCTATGGTAGAAACTACTCTCAGAGGTAACCATTGGGTAAGTAAATGAAATTGAGTTTTTAAACTGATTACAAAAAAAAAACGTTACACTTGGTGAAAGCACAGACAAAAACATTGTCTATTGATATGCACATTTTTTGCTTTTACAATTGCAATTATTTGTAATTGTCTCATGTTAAAATTACAATTGTGAAATATCATAAGTAATCCAGTGTTAGTTGAATAGTTTGCTGTATATACATGTTAACCTTATTACACTATTTAACCATACAAGTATTGTTGACCATCCTGTGCCTTTTTTGAAGTGTAGGGCCACTAATCTAATTAAATGCATGATAAATGACACATAGTCATTCATGAACTTATGTATGTTGACATTTTTAAACTTAAAAGAAGTCATTATGGATTAGTACACTTTACAAGTAAAGGAATAATTTTGTTCAAAATACTTGATGTGTAAATGAGAGAATGTCTCGGTAGATTTAATACAAATTTTATATTATCCTTAAACATACATTTTCTTGCCCAAAAAAATGTCTGCTGCTTGCCATTTTTCCCACAGGATGCAACTTGGCACACATCCATTTAGTTAGTTATTGAGTTATATAGCCAAACAGTTGTTTTTTTTAAACTTCTTAAAAATTTTTTGAAAATTAAAAAAATGTGGCGTCTTTATAATTTTTTAATACATGATATAAGTTTTCCTTGTGTGGTTTTTACTTTTTACAGGTTACATTGATTTTAAGGAATATGATTATTTGTGTTTGCCTCTAAGTATATAATTTTATGATTTTCCAGACTGCCCTTGTAAGTCCAACCAATGAAGAATTTGAAGTTCTTCAAGAGGACATAAGCACAAGAATTAACGATACTCAAGGGGAGACCATTTATGAAGTTGGGACAGGGGGTAAGTGCAGGCATTTAATATTCTTTTTTTTAATGAAAAAAGAATTTTAATCAATAAGCATATGAGATAAATTTAAATTTAGTTTAATATCTTGCCAAATGTCACTTTTGGATGATAATACTTATTTTGAATGGAATCTATATGATATAGATTAATTAGAATCTTTAAAAAAAATTGATTAATTTTACTTTAAAAATTTATTGTAGTTTAAAACAGGTAATTTAATTTTAAAAGACATTTTTTTTTTAAATCACAGATTACGTTTCAATATGACACAGCTTAAAAGAAAACAAGAGTAGTTAATTTTGTGATGTTTAAGACATTAAGTGAGCAAAATGGTACATAATATAAATATAATATGTTCTTTAACATAAAATAATTTACCAATTTACAGCTAATTTAAATAATTGCAGTCTTTTTAATTGCACATATGCTTTCCCAGAAGGTGACAAACCTGGACTCAAGGAAGAAGACTATCTAGCATCCATTGCTACCTTAAAGAGCATAGCACAATCTTTAGATCTGGAATGTGTTTTGCTTAGAGAGAGAACAGCAGAAGAGGGGAAAGTGGCAGAATTCTTGCTGAGGAAAAGATTGAAATGTGAAGATTTTATGGAAGTTAGGTTAGTGCAATATTAAGACTAAAAGCATTTTGTGTTGTTGCGAGTTTCCTCATTTCGAAAGGCACGCAGCTGGAAATTTTTAAGTATCATTTCCTTTTTAAAAAGTATTTTAGGGCTTTTCAATTAATCCAAAAGTAGAAAGGGGTATATGGTTAAAAGAGAGTTGGGTAATACTTTAAAATGTATTTACATAACCTTTAAAGCTTAAATTATTCTTGACAGTGCCACTAGTCTCATTAAGTTAAGAAATTTTAGTATAAAAAAAAAATAATGAAATAAATGAAATTTAGTTCCATAAATTGTTGGTACACTTTCTGAAAACTTAAATTTTGTTTGTTTTCTTGTGTGCCTGATATAGATACAAAATTTTATGAACAGGGTGGCAGTTGTAGGAAATGTAGATGCAGGCAAAAGTACATTATTAGGTGTATTAACACATGGGGAACTGGACAATGGACGAGGTGTGGCTAGACAGAAGCTGTTTCGTCACAAGCATGAAATGGAGTCTGGGCGAACAAGCAGCGTTGGAAACGACATTCTTGGTTTTGATGCTGCGGGAGATGTGGTCAATAAGCCAGAACATGGACATCTGGACTGGATAAAAATTTGTGAGGAGTCGGCAAAAGTAAGTTTTAGTTTATGTACCTCCGTGGCGCTGCTCTGCAGGTGACTCGATGCATTAGTACATCTTTTTCAGCTTTTTTCACAGTTTTTACACGTTTTATTTAATTGTGTTTCACTCAAGTAAAAAATGTAGGTGCTAAGGAGGATTTTCTTGTGAGTTTTGTGTGTTTCTCTTCGCGGGAAACAGCTTTAATATGGACTTTGGATATCAAATAACTCAGACTAGTATAAAAATGTCACTTCCGCCATTTTTGTAAATTTCCGCCATGCCAACAGTAAATGGGGACCGAATCCAAGGGAGCGGGATTGGCAATATATGTTTACAAAAACTACTGTAGCATCAACAACAGTACAGTGAAACATGTAGTTTGTACACCCGCCATAGAACCACTCTGCATCACTTGTAGGCCATTTTACCTACATAGGGAGTTCACCCAAATCTGTATCATCCTCTCTTACATTCCACCTAATGCTAACAAGTTGCAGGCTATTGAGAGACTTTTGGATGTAATCCATGAAAACGAAGACTCCGAAAATCTGAAATTCAGCGTGCTCCTCCTGAAGTCACAAATCTTAATGAGAACTTATAAGTCCCTGATATGGCTAAGAGAATTCACTTAATGGCTGTTTTTTTTTCACTAGTGAAATAATTTAATGTGGATGTCTGGTGTTCAAATTGTTTTATTTATGTGCTGAAAATGTACAATGCAATCAAAAAGCATTTCCATTTGTTTGGATAAATAAAAGAATCTTATCTTATGCAGTACAAACATACTTGTACTGTTAAGTCAGTCTTTGATCTATTGCCACACTCCTTCCAGTATACTTGTAAAGTTAAGTCAGTGTTTGATATATTGCCACCCTCCTTCCATTACACTTATACTTGTACTGTTTAGTCAGCCTTTGATCTATTGCCACACTCCTTCTATCAGACCTATACTGTACTGTTTAATCATGTAATCAATCTTCTTCCTCTATGTTTTGAGGGCCCATGATCATTCTGGCTCCTATTGAATTATTGCCACACTCCTTCCATTCCATGTGTATTGTACTGATAGTCAACTCTCGCTTACAGGCACACTCCTTCCATTCCATGTGTATTGTACTGATAGTCAACTCTCGCTTACAGGCACACTCCTTCCATTCCATGTGTATTGTACTGATAGTCAACTCTCGCTTACAGGCACACTCGATTTAACAGATTCATAAGGAAAATTTGAACTATAAAGTTCGCTCTACAAGCATAGATCATTTTATTGTCCTGAGCAAACGCTGTCGAAACGTCATCAAAATCACCTCATTATTTCAACAACTCATCAGTTATTTAATCAACATATTTCCTTTTTGTTCAGCTATGATAGTTTCTCTTTCCAATTATGCCAAAATAAATTCAGTGGTTTACAACCTCGTGCTCAAATTTTGAAATGTTCCTACTGATGAAGATTTTTAAGACTGTATGTCTCATGATGCAATTTGTATAAGATAATTTGAGATCCATGAAGTTGTGAGCTGCTGACTTGAGTAGAAAGCAATTGGGGTAAACAACTTCTTTCAGCATTTAATAGTCCTATGCTTAAATCCTTCTAGGTGATCACATTTATAGACCTTGCTGGACATGAAAGATATTTGAAGACAACAGTATTCGGAATGACAGGACACGCTCCAGATTTTGCTATGTTGATGGTAATTTTAACTTAAGATCTTTTTTTTTTTTACTCGTGCGCCTTATGCTTGAAATGTTAATTATGAAATTCTTACAAGAGCAAAAGAATATATTTTTTTAAAAATAAATCATTACTATTATGTGTCTTCTGTGTATGTGATACGTGGCCCGTGGCCCATGACAGATTAGCTAATAGAAGAGTTTATCATAAATCAGCTTTTAAAAGTTGAGCCTGACTGGCCGTGAGTAGATTAAGTGGCTTCTTGTATCAACCTGAATCTCTCATCTCATGGAACTAGAATCAAATAGTTTAGAATTCTGTTACAATACATCTTTGATGTTGACCAATGGCGATTGTTCTATTTGTTACCAACTTGACACCCATTGAATTTCTTGTCAGATTGGTGCCAATGCTGGTGTGATTGGCATGACCAAGGAGCATCTTGGCCTGGCTCTGGCCCTCAATGTCCCTGTGTTTGTCGTGGTCACCAAGATTGATATGTGCCCGCCCAACGTACTGCAAGAGACAATCAAACTGCTGACCAGGATCCTCAAATCTCCAGGTTGTCGAAAGATTCCCATGTTAGTTCAGAACACCGATGATGTGGTTGTGACGGCAACAAATTTTACCTCAGAAAGGTAAGTGATTTGCTCGTGTCCCTTTCTTTGAAATTATTTCCTCAAGGTTCTAAATGGTTGATAAGTAAATTAAGCTGGACCAAAAATGTATGCCTGGCTGTTGGTTTACTCCGTAGGATGTGCCCTGTGTTTCAAGTGTCAAATGTGACAGGAGAGAATCTCAACCTGTTGAAAATGTTCCTCAACCTGCTGTCTACACGAGTCAAGTGTGATGCTTCACAGCCTGCAGAGTTTCAAATTGATGACACTTTCTCTGTTCCTGTAAGAAAATGAAACATTTTTCCTTTTGAAAGTTCCATTGTGCTCAAAATATATTGTAACCGATTACAAAATGCAGTGTAATTCATTTGTATAATTGACAACAAAGTTTTTATCAGCTAATTAGTACCTCAAAATTTTGACAAAGATCTTAGTTGAAAGGATCAATCATTCAATAATACAATGAACTGTTACAATTTGCTTATTAGCTTCAAGATTGTTAGTTTGCATTCATTTTAAATGCGGTAACTCTTTGATTTTCAAGACATGATTAATTTTTTTTTCTCATAGAGTATTTTAGTCTTCTAATTATTTTATGTCAGCATAACTTATTCAGGCACTAAATTTTTTTTACAGCCATTAGTAGTATTAGTGAATAAAATATTCAAAAATGTGACTGGCTTTTAACCATGTAATGACATACTTGCTTATCTCCCTCCCAGGGTGTTGGTACAGTTGTATCGGGTACACTGCTGCAAGGTTGTATCAAACTAAATGATACACTGTTACTAGGACCCGATGCTCTTGGACAGTTTCAATCAGTTCCCATCAAAAGTATACACAGAAAACGAATGCCAGTACGGGAAGTTCGTGGAGGTCAAACTGCCTCATTTGCTCTTAAAAAGGTAGAGAGTAATTGTGCTTGTGATTATCAAATCTTTTAAGTGGTCTGTATTTTTTCTGGTGTCAAGGACAGCAAAACACTGTCAATGTTCATAATGGCAAAGCTCCCTGGAAGTACATTTTTTAAACTTTCAGATCTATGTCTTGTTCCCATGCACAAGTTTTGATAAATTAGCAACTTGAGAGTGAAATCCACCTGCAGTGATGAATGTTCTTATGTCCCCAGATCAAACGAGCATCAATACGGAAAGGTATGGTTATGGTGTCCCCAGCTATAGACCCCAAGGCCTGCTGGGAGTTTGAAGGTGAGATTCTGGTTCTGCATCATCCAACAACAATAAGTGTCCGGTACCAGGCCATGGGTGAGTTTCCCTTGTGACTCTGTGATGATCTTCTGTGTTTGGTTGTTATCATAACTTTGTCATGATCTATGACCATTTCTGTGTGTATTGACTGCAATGGAACTTTGTTGTTTTTCTTCTTCACTCTAATTACCATTTGCAGTCCTTAGTGCTAACAGTATTTAAGTCACAAAATTCCCATTTATATTCTTTTCATCTTTAAAATTTGATCATTCATAATTTAATGCCTTTTCAAATAAGGGACCTAGATACTAGATACATTTTAATGTGTTCAAATTTGTGCAGTGCACTTGGCTAAACCAGATAAGAAAATGTCTCAGTTCAGATTGCCTGGACAAAAATGTGACTCAAGTACTTTTAGCACTGGTGTCTTCATTTACTCAATGGTCTTAACAGAAATATCTGCTCAGGATAAAAAATATACAACATTAGTTGTAATAGTACAATAGTCAATGTACCGTGATGTTCTAATGCAGCTATCTATGCTACAGAGGCCTAGCTATATTTTGCACCAAGGGACAAACTATAAAAGGGCCCCCCTTGTTTAATCATATTTTTAAGTTACATTGAATAAGGAAAACAATTTAAATTCTAATAAAACATCATTTTGGCGCCCCTGTGCCTTGGCGCCCGGGGACATATGTAACCCCCCCCCCCCCCCCCCCCCCCAATCGCTATGCCTTGCTATGCTACTTTTGTTTATATTTTTTTAAAAAGTTATTTCCCTTTGAAATTATTTTTAAAGACAGTGTGCATATTGTATGTGTACGGTAAGTGTGCAGACAACAGTAGTGTAACATTCATAGTAAGGTTGTCAGTGTATATGTACGTGTGCAGACCGCATTAGTGTAATATTTATGGTAGGGCTGTAAGTGTAACTTTTTATTTCTCTAAGAGGGGGAGGGGGGGGGGGATTATGAACATTCAATTTCCCTTTGAAAATAGTCAATGTTAAATTAAAAATATTTCTGTCGGTTTCGCTTCTTTTAACTAAACCCTAGCAACTAACAGCACTTTTATGTTGTTAAGATAAGCAGTGATGTCTGTACAGTGATTGATGTGCAATGTCAACATACAAGTGCTAGTAGGGAAAGAACAGGAGCCAGATAAAAAAAATCTAAACTTTCATTAAGGGTTGCTTAAAGGGTTTGACAGTTTATTTTGAGAGAATGAAACTTGAATTTAACTTACAGGGCATGCCCAGTTTAAACTATTAATTTCCGTGAAAGACTTAGACATAATGCAACAACTGGTGTTTTATGGACTTCATTATTGGATCTCTACATTTTGTGAGACTTACTTCCCACCAGAGATTTATTTTTCTTTTATGATAGTTTGTATGTTTGTCATTAAATGTTTTTTTTTTTTTTTCATTTGTTGTAGTTCATGTTGGGAGTGTTCGGCAGACAGCAACAATCATAGATATGACAGAAGATCACCTGCGCACAGGAGACAAGGCCACAGTGAGATTCCGTTTCATTAAGAATCCAGAATATCTCAAACCTGACATGAGAATGGTCTTCCGAGAGGGCAGAACGAAAGCCGTTGGCAATATCACAAAACTTTTTCCCTATGTCAGCGCTGTGGCCCAAAACACGCGGCATCAGCGGGCGGCGAAAAAATCTCAGCAAGACGGAGGCAAGCATTCTGTCAATCCACAAAATGAACCACAAAAAGCGAGCAAGAGGAACAGGCGGGCGAAGAAGCTGTCCGATGTGGATGAAGGGGAAGGGAAGGAGAGTGTGGTCAAGAACGGCAGCGACACAGGTCTGGGCCCATTTTCACCATCGTCGGTTGCATTGTCGTCGTTAGCGTCAACGTCCACCGCAGCAGCAACTTAGACATCAAATAGTTCATCCCAATTCTTGTACAGTGTGTAACATTTGCATGTTGAGTCTTATTGATAATATTTTTAGTAGAACTTAAGCCGTCAAACAATGATTTATTTTTATTGCAAAATTTTTAGCAATAAACTATAGAACAATCGCCATGCTCTGAAAGTCAATTTTGTAAACTCATCCAAAAGAGCTTGATCATCAGTAGTTGTTGTTTTTTTATAAGTTGATCGTGCCTTGTCAGTTGAGAATGTTTTGAACCGCTATTCCAAATGCTCCGTCTGTGTTTGCCCGTTTGCTACGTATGATATCTGATGAGAGAGGAAAGTATTTAGTTCCCCATCCATGCCACCGGTCAAAATTATGAGAGATAGGCCCTTGTTTTTAAAGTTAACTGTCTTCAGTCTATTTGTTATTTTAGTCACATTTTAAAACATCAGTCTGGACCAATATAAAAACATAACTCTGCCAAATTAATTGTCGTCTCATAACAAATTTTTTAAATTGCGGGGAAAAAAATGAGAATAAAACCTATTTAATGGCAGAAATTTGACCTTTCATTTAAATTTGTTTACCAATTGAAAGTAAATTCATTCGTGTCATATGTCAGAAAGATATGCAGATTTAATTTGTCCAAAGATCATAGCTCACTGGGCAACTTTCCTTTGTCTGGTCGGTGATCTTATTATTTCAGTAAATATCCCAAATAGTTTAGTGCTTGTCAGATTTTTCACTCAGCCTTTGAGACTGGCATTATAGATGTTTATTTTGGTTTTTGTGTTTAACTGCTACAACACAAAAATTCCAACACATTTTTTTAAGTTGAGGCAGCAGGTGTCATATATGCTTATGATTTTTTTATTTTTTTGTATACAGCGCTTTTAACAAAAACTCTATTTAAGGTTAAGATTGTTCAACAGTCCATATGAGATCTTCAGCCATAGATGTTGAAAAAAACAACAACTCCATATTAATTGTTTAACTTAAAAAGGGTTGAATAGTTAAGTATACTAACTTATATTCTCAAAATTGAATGTATTGGAGTGTAGAAATCAAGTTTTAAAAACTCAAAAAGTGGTAAACCTGATTGAAGAGTGACCTTGATTTACACCCATGCAATTGAAGCACTCATAAAGTGAGATCACCGGTAGTGCTCTAAAGAAATTTCAAAGCTGGTATCTTTCATCGAATTTTTTTTTTTTTTTAAAAAGTTTTTCCAGAATTGTGTCTCCTAAACTTGTAAAATATCTACTTGTGTGGATATTAAATGTGGGCATTGGGTCTATATGTGGCTGCGGGTGTATGTGTGTGTCCTGCTGCTTGTAGTTAGAACTCACATAATAGGTTATGGTGTGCTTTTTATCTTTTTTTTTCTTTCTACTGTGTATAATCTTCAAATACAAAAATCTTCCGATTCACTTTATTTTCCCCAAACATTGATTCAAGCTTGTGCCCTGTCCCTTGTCTGCACCCCCCCTCCTCCCCCACCACTAACGATTCTAACAACACCCCCCCCCTCTCTAATTCAGTGTTCTTCCTGATCTCAGTTTATTATGTTGAGGATATTTTTTTTCTTTCTACTGTGTATAATCTTCAAATACAAAAATCTTCCGATTCACTTTATTTTCCCCCAACATTGATTCAAGCTTGTGCCCTGTCCCTTGTCTGCACCCCCCCTCCTCCCCCACCACTAACGATTCTAACAACACCCCCCCCCCTCTCTAATTCAGTGTTCTTCCTGATCTCAGTTTATTATGTTGAGGATTTGAGTTGTCTAACCTTGTGTCTGCTGGAATATATATCTACCACCATTTTTACATATCTTATTATGGTGTGAACATATGAGCTAATTTCCACACACAATTAAATAAATTAGTATATTTTCAATTCTTATAAGTGGGCATAATTTTTTTTTTTTGGCATATCAAGAAATAAGAGAGAGCATGTATGTCATTAGATTTATCTGAGAGTTCGGCACGGCCTTTTCATCAAATTTTTTCAAAAAGTGTTCCTTTTCTTACACTTACACATGTGGCAGTAGATCAAAATAGTTCAATATTTTGTCACATGAGGTCACCCAAATTAGGAAGTTCATTCCATCATGAGACTGGGGAAAGGTTCAAATAAATGTAACATTTTCCCCCAAAGTAATCAATTATAACATAAGTTTTGAAAATTAAAGTTTCCTTTAAGGATGATGCACAGGAGAGTCTGTAAAAAAATATATATGTACATGAAAAGCAAATAATTAATTTAGCTAATCAGTAAATATTGTCCAAATGTTCAGCAAAGTTCTATAGAACAATTGATTGAGTCTTTTGTAAGTGGCTCATGCGCATCTGTAAATTTATTTTAATTTTTTTTTCTTGATTAAAGAACAATATCGGGCACTTTTAGCATCGTGTTAGATGTAAATCAAAGGTTCTTGATTGAAATGAAAGGGCAATTACTTCATTAATGCTGCTACATCATTGCCGTCTGTCTGACTGTGACAGACTGGTTTAGATAGATATTTGTTAAAAATCTGTACACTTTTAAACTCTGTTGGCCAGCATTGTGTACATTTTGCTAGTGTGATTTTTTTTTGTTCTAGCCGTTTCAATTCTTGTAGTATTTTTTTTTAATACTACATCCAAGTTTTTATTGAAAGACATGAAAAAAGTGGATCAATAAAGATGATTTGTTTAACACTGGCCAAGTTGAATCCATGAGTGAGAATGATTTACTGACCTAACTTTTGTGTAATTGTAGTAAGGGGGAGAGACTGCAATCAGGTGAGCAAAAAAAGGAAATGATTGAAACAAACGAACGTGTCAGTGTCAGCAGGAAGCCTTCATCAGCGAACAAACGACATCTAAAAAGAGAATTAAATAAAAACAGCACTTAGCTGAAATATAGTAGCCAAAGGGGCACCATGAGTATTTTTTAAAATATTTATTTGTTTTTACTGGCGTTTGTTCGCTGATGAAGGCTTCCCTCCGACACTTTCGTTGTTTTGTTGCGTTCGATTTTTCAGGTTTTCCCCATACTTTGTTTCACTCATTACCTTTTTCTTTAAAACTTTTGCACCCTTGCTTAAAAAATAAGTAATAAATAAATGAAAATGGTGCGTGTAACTCTTAAGGTATGTGGTACCTTATGGATTTGATGAGTGAATAGATTTATTGATAAATTGGTATCAACTGCAGCTATAAGTCAGTAGCACTATTACCGGTCAAAAACAACAGCTGTTTACACAATTATTCTGAATATGTTATATTTCAGCAAATCATCTGAAAACCTTGGCAAAGAAAGAAAGTTTAAAAAAAACATAACTCCATATTTTGAAAAGGGAGGTGTTACACACAATGGGCTGGGAATAACGTGTTACACACAATGGGCTGGGAATAACGTGTTATACTCAATGGCCTGGGAATAACCCGTTACACACAGTGGGCTGGGTATAATGTGTTACACACAATGGCCTTGGATTAATGTGTTATACATAGTGGCCTAGGAATAACGTGTTATACACGGTGGGCTGGGAATAACGTGTTACACACAGTGGGCTGGGAATAACGTGTTACACACAGTGGGCTGGGAATAACTTGTTACACATATGGCCTGGGACTAACGTGTTACATACAGTGGGCTGGGAATAAAGCGTTACACACAGTGGGCTGGGAATAACGTGTTACACACAGTGCCCCGTGAATAATGTGTTACACACAATGGGTTGGGAATAGCGTGTTACACACAGTGGGCTGGGAATAACGTGTTACACAGTGGGCTGGAAATAACGTGTTACACACAATGGGCTGGGAATAACGTGTTACACACAATGGCCCGGGAATAACGTGTTACACACAATGGGTTGGGAATAACGTGTTACACACAATGGGCTGGGAATAACGAGTTACACACAATGGGCTGGGAATAACGTGTTACACAGTGGGCTGGGAATAACGTGTTACACAAAGTGCCCCGGGAATAATGTGTTACACACAATGGTTTGGGAATAGCGTGTTACACACAGTGGGCTGGGAATAACGTGTTACACACAATGGGCTGGGAATAACGTGTCACACAATGGCCCGGGAATAACGTGTTACACACAATGGGTTGGGCATAACGTGTTACACACAGTGGCCTATCGGAATAACGTGTTATACACAGTGGCCCGGGAATAACGTGTTATACAGTGGGCTGGGAATAACAAAATGGTTTACTACCGCTAGTATTTTTTATTTAAAAAATGGTCGCTGAATTATGGATCTGTATTGAATCTATAACTTGTTTTCATGTTAACAGACTTTATTCAGATAACACTTATTGTTATGCACAGTCGGTGTGAAAAAAAATGCTCATTGTTACTCCAGGCGATAAATGGTTTCCTACTACCGCTAGCGATTACTATTCACAGGACTGTGAATAACCACTCCGTATTGAAACTGCGATGTCATTCCATGGGTTGACTCTGTTGTAACAATCAGAGTATATTAAAGTTTTAAGAACGCTGCATACTCCGGAGAAAAAAAAAATCACTCTATCAAAGGTTGTCTCTCTTAGCATTAGTTTCAGACAAAAACGTATGACTGGATATTATAATTATTTGAATCGCTATCCGCAAGAGCTATAACTATAAGGATATTGTTATGAACTGTAGAAGGATATTGAAATATTTTCCCTGGAGTTCTCCTGCTTTGTAGTCCAGTCCATCCATTAAGTGGCATCACTACCATAAGTGCCGCGCCGCATCATTTGAGAACCAGTGATACAAGAGTCGTAACCACATTCGCAATTTATGTCTCCTGGGTGTTAAAGTTAAACGCGTGCCGCTGAATTTCACGTGTACTTGTGATACAGGAATATATTTAGCTTTGCTGTTGTGTGGGTCGACCTCCATTCGGGCAGGTTATGATAGTATACCGTTTCAAAGGGAGCAGGGTTTAATGTTTGAGTTCAGACAAAACCAAACTGTCCCAGAAACAACGTCACCAAATGAGAGGTGAGACAGAAGGTTAAAAAACACGGGAATGGGAACTCGTGATCACCAACATATTATGGTTAGCTATTTTCAAAGGTTTTATTTGGTCCATGTTTGTTTTTTCATATGGAAGGAGAATGGTTGGTTTTGTATGGTGGTAAAACAGTCGGGGAATCGATGAAGGATATAATGTAAGAGCTGGTCACCAAGTGAGCCCCATGAGGCTTAATGAACAGTCACCAAGTGAGCCCCGTGAGGTTTAATGGTTGGTCACCAAGTGAGCCCCATGAGGCTTAATGGATAGTCACCAAGTGAGCCCCATGAGGCTCACTGGATAGTCACCAAGTAAGCCCATTGGGCTCAATGGATAGTCACCACGCGAGCCCCATGAGGCTCAATGGTTAGTTACCAAGTGAGCCCCATGAGGCTCAATGGATATTCACCAAGTGAGCCCCATGAGCCTCAATGGATAGTCACCACGTGAGCCCCATGAGCCTCAATGGATAGTCACCACGTGAGCCCCATGAGGCTCTATGGATAGTCAGCACGTGAGCCCCAGGAGGCTCAATGGATAGTCACCAAGTGAGCTCATGAGGCTCAATGGTTAGTGCTACGTATCATCAGAGTTTGTAAAAAAAAATATTTTAGCAGCATTACCAGCCTGATCAGGTGGATAGGAATGTCAGGTTCCATGGATAATTGGATGCCAGTTATAGAGCGGTGTGGATGTCAGCCACAGAGTTACGTGGATATCGGCCACAAAGAGATGTGTTATGTCAAACACAGACAGGTGGATGGTGTCAGTCACAGAGTGACGTGGAAGTCAGTCACCGGGCGATGTGGATGTCAGTCACAGGGCGACGTGGATGTCAGTCACAGAGTGAGATGGATGTCAGTCACGGAGTGACATGTGTGATGTAAAAGACAGGCAGTTGGATGTCAGTGACTGACGGATATTCGCTAAAAAAAATATAAGTACCTTTACACAGGATAGTGGACATGGATATGCTATTAATAGATTTCATGTAAGGAAAAAAAAATTGACAACAACAATGTTTTGTTTATGTTTGAAAAATAATCATAAATGGAGAATTAAGTGGGGAAAAGCAAAGTCATACTTTAAAGGGGGGGGGGGGGGGGGGGGGGGGGGGTGGGGGGGTGGTTGAGCTAAACTAATTGACCTGTGATATGGGACTTCTCTAGGAAACACGTCACACAACTTGCTTCTAGCTAGCACGAAATTACTAGAAAATTGTGTTTCCTGTACGGAAAATGATTACATGGACAATGGTCAATAATTTCAGTCTCATAATGAAAGCGTGTTGCTATGGAAACGCAACAAAAAACAACAAAACAAACAGTTCTCGGAATCGTATTCCTTGAAATTGATAGTGTATCGGTTTTCTCAGAAACGAAGCTTATTCTGTATCCCGGAGTGCGTCAATAACGTGTCAGGGGATTGGGGCGGGGGTGGCTGTCACCCAGTGCAGTAAACTCATGGTGTCCCCACCGTTCAGACTTGCCTGGGCTCTCCCACGTGCCTGTCTGTCTTGGTGGCACCCTGCTGTGGGTAAAGAAATTATTTTAAAGGTGTTTTTTTTTTTTTTTTTTTATAGTTATAAAATTAAATACGCGTGTGTTTGTAGAGAAGTGCTAATTGGGCAAAGGGGAAAAAACAACCTATTATATAAAAAGTCTAAGTTTGTTTGTAGGTTTTAGTTTGTAGGTTTTAGCTTGTCAGTTGTTTGTAAGTTCCACATATGCGCCTAAGTGTAAATATTGATATGTATTGAACTTTTTTTAAAAAAATTGATATTTTTGTAGCACGGATGCTCGGCAACCACACCAC